GTAGAGTTTTCATACCACGGGTAAGTTGAATTCGCCAGGCCTAATCCTCGCTTATTTCATTTTGTTTCATTTTTCACTGTTTCACTATTGTTCAGAAATGTTTTATAGAGTCATTTTGATGTTTATTGTACTGTTTTCTGAGAGTTTCGAGTCCACTAGATAACACAATGTGCATGCCTCGTTGAATTAACTTGATCAGTACAAGTGATATTGAAAGTTGAGCCAATTTCCATGTTTAGGGTTAAAAGCTTTAATTATTGTCTTGGCTAGGGCAATGCCTATTCATTAATTGTTATTTATTGTTGTATTGTTATATTTTTCCTATATATTTGAATGAATAAATTTATATTTGTGTCCAGCCAGCTCTTGTGTTGTCATTGTTGGTCCTCCACCTCAGCAATATTGTGCCGGAATCCCACCATTGATTTTGCGCTTCCAAGGGCTTCACCCTTTTGATCAATGGAGTTGGGAATTCGGTTACACTGGTATGTTTTCCGGGGCGGGTTGTTGGCCCAACGCCCAACCCCCACAAGCCCTTGGAGGACCGGGCTCGAGTTGCCTGCCTTTCGCTTACCTCATAAGTTCCAAGCCAACCTAAGAGGCGTTTCCCACCCTGCACTACGGGGAAGCATCAGACAACTCTTGCTAACACCTTGGATTGCACTACTGGGACTGGCAGTGATAGTGTTTTCCCTTGATGTTAGCCATCGGCAGGGCAAGGTATCAATAAAAAAAATAAAAATAAAGATAAGGAAGGTGTTTTATTATAGTGTTATATTCCATATTATATTTATTCCTTGTCTTACTTTAGGCTAAGCCATGTGATTTGTTGTGTTTGGAACACTGTTTTTGGATTTTATTTTCGTACAATTGTAATTCGTAATTGGCTGAAGAAATTCTCCGCTTAGCTGTCATCACTATTACTTTGCAATTTGTTATGTTTCTTTGTTTGTTAATATCTATGTATTTTTGCACAATTATTTACTTGTTACGTAGCCTTGCACATGTTTTCTTGTTTTGTACTATGTTGATTTAGGTTTGTTGAGGATGATTTTTATTATTGTTTATTGAATAATTATACTGTTACTTGGTTTTGATCCTTCATTATTGTTAACTAATTACAAAACTTGCTGTTTCCCATTTTGATTGTTATATATTGTTTTTGATTGTAGTAACTTATGATATTGATAAATTTTTATACAAGTAATTTTTCTCTGTTCTTATCTTCAAGTCTTAAATGTAATGTTTTGCCATCTTTATTTGTTTGCATTTATAAAATGGAGTTTTCCGTCAATAAATAAATATAAGATTATATAACTTTTTCTCTATTTACTGGTACCTTTTATCATCATTATCATTATTACGAGTAGGCTTGCTGTCTGATGTGTGTCAGCCACTTGGGATATTTTAACTCACCTGAAAAACCTTTAGAAAATTAACCCAATCTGTAAGCATTGGAACTTGTAGATTCTCTTGATTAGACCTTCGCGAGGAATTGTCGGTCCATTAGCTAACTTACCTTAGGAGTCAGCCCTAAGCCTCTTAGAATCTCATATGAGATTTGGTCTTGTGGTGTTAGGCTGATCCTCGCAAATTAATGACATTCTGATTCTACTAATTCAAAAACAAGCAAGTAATAAATTCCAACACCTGTCGTAACTGTTTGACAGCAATCATATTTATTATTTAGATATGATTGTGTGATCTGTCCTTGAGAGTTCAATCATTACACCATCAAAGGTATTTATTTTTACTATTGACATCGTAGGGCCTGTATATGGTTGTTTGTCTGTATATCTTTGCTTGATTTATGCAAAAGCAAATTAGGATTTCTTCAGTGTGCAGGGAACAGACCTCATACGAGACACAGCCCAACCATTTGTTAAATTTACCCAGATATTCTGGCTTGATAAAACAGACTCTTCTGAATCCATAAATTCTTCTCTTCGGACAAAGCCACTTGTTTAAAATAAATGGCTTTTGAGTTTTTTAACTTCATTTACCAGCAATCAAATAAGAAGGTTATTTTTTAAAGTAAAGGCTGTTTTTGCGTTCAGCTCCATAGTTACCGTGTTTACTCTTCGCCATTTACTGGGCATCATTTGTGAACAGAACTATTTTCAGCTCTGTTGCTGACGTGTACGATTCTCTGTGAATAAAAACATATTTCAAACCGTCAAGTCTCATGCCACGTGCAAGATAACGTCAGTGATATACGTTTTTTGATTACAAGAAACATTTCCAATGCCGACATTCATCGCCATATGACTGAAGTTTTTAGTTGGTGGCAATAGAGCTGGGAAAGTGCGGAAACAGACTAGAGAATTTAAAAATAGTCTTGAAAAGGTTCATTTAGAACAGAATTGTGTTTTTGGTGCGTACTTAGAAGACCATAAAGGAATAGTATATTTCATTACTAGGACCGAAACTGGCATTTCTGACGCGCGCTCAAGTTTCAAGTGTGAGGCGAAGCCAAGGAAACCGGAAATGATTCGGTTCATAACCATTTTACCAGACAAAACACTTTTCTCCGTCCAAACCAATGTAATTTTATGACCACAATCAATAACTTAAGTGAATTTGGCAAAAGATTGTATAATATGTTACCTGCTCACATTAAATGTCTTGAAATACAACAATTTAAATTTACTATTAGGAAGATTTTGTGTGATTTATGTGTGTATAAGGTCAAAGAATTTGTAGAACATATTAAATAGGTTAATAGATATACTGTGATGAAATTGTATGATGTTGCTATACATGTATTTATAATGTTGATGGCAATAAATGGATTTGATTTGATTTGAGTTATGAACGATACTTTTCATCACGACGCAAAAATACACACATACAGAATAACATATCTCAGTAGTATTTAACTAGTTTTAGACTACTCTTTATCATTGAAAATACACTTCACAACGAACATATTATATGGTTTCATAATTGTAGATTCTTTAGATAAATATATTAATAAATACTTCGTCACTTACTTTAATTGACTTAACATTTTGTAATTTGTACCACCAGCTTCTAAGCTTTCTGTATTCTTCTTCTTATCTTTCCCGTGATTTATCTGGTGGAAGATGATTAGTTACTCCTGAAGCTGTTTACATCAAATCATCAGTAATTTTAGAAATACTTTGAGCAATTTCAAACATGCACTATGCTAAAAACACAGCAAAAAACTATACATGTTTCTGTATAGATTTAGATTGTGCAACAATCAAAACAGCCGATTTAAATCATTAAAACAAACCTAACAAAACACTAGTGCGCATAGTGGATAAATGGAAAACTAATTGAGAGCGAGGGAAAGTAAATTTAGAGCGAGGGAAAATCAGCTAATCGTTTTCCCTCGCTTTAAATTAGAGATTGGGAAACAACTACTTTCTTCCAAATCAGCTGTTATCGAAAATAGTTACTTTCGGTAAGGAGTGATAACACATTTCTGCACTTTACCCTCACTCATTGCACTAGGGCCATAAGCTTCAGTTATCTGGTGATGAATGTCGGCATCGGATATATTTCTTGTAATAAAGAAACATATCTGCCCTTATTTGAAAAATATTTCTAAACATACAGTGAAGTGTACACGTCAGCTATAGAGTTGCAATGGTATTATTCTGTTCACAAATGATGCCAGTAATTGGTGAGGAGCCTCATTGCGGTGACCACACAAACTAAGGAGCCATATGAAAAAATTACCATTGTAATATATCTTATTCCCTACATGGGAAATCTTCTAGAAGTGTGAAGCAAACTTTACTAATCATTTATTAAGAATATTGTTACATGTTTGAAAATTTAATTTACGGAAAGTAAATAAAAGAAACGTCTTATAACACTTATTAAACATATATTTACGCTTATACTGGTACTCACAAGACGGTAAATGTACCAAAAAGATGGTAAGTGGTGATCGATTTCGATTGGACACTCCAATCATCATCAGACCCAATAGGCGAATGACAAGATTCTTGAATGGCGTCCCTACTTATACCCTATTGGCTACCGGAAGCACCGGCCAATACATTTTTATAAGTACAACTGGAATCGAAATTTACTTGTTCATTAATCAACTTATTTCTATTTTTACATTTTTCCTTATAAATATACAGTTCTTCCCAAGCATTCCTTACATATCCTTTCTTACAATTCTTTAAAATACCTAGACTATCCTCCATTTTTCTTATTGAGTGGCCATTTTGTAACAGGTGTTGTGCGACATTTGATCTTTCCGGTTTGTTGTTCCTCCACACAGATATGTGGTTTTTGAAGCGGTTAACGAAGTTCACCGTCTGTCCAATGTAGAAGTTATCACAATCGTTACAATTGATTTTATAGATGCCCAAAGCGTCAAATTTGTTACAATCTTCTATTTTTGGATGCAGACTCATGGTGTTCTGAGTCCTGTAGGCTATTGAAACTACGTATTTCTTGAATCTGTTAGCAGTCCTTTGTGTTGTAGTCCCCGTGTAGCTAAATGTGACATATCTGGTGTTTTCCTCTTTTATCTCTTCTAATGTTGGCCACAAAATGGCCACTCAATAGGAAAAATGGAGGATAGTCTAGGTATTTTAAAGAATTGTATGAAAGGATATGTAATGAATGCTTGGGAAGAACTGTATATTTATAAGGAAAAATGTAAAAATAGAAATAAGTTGATTAATGAACAAGTAAATTTCGATTCCAGTTGTACCTATAAAAATGTATTGGCCGGTGCTTCCGGTAGCCAATAGGGTATAAGTAGGGACGCCATTCAAGATTCTTGTCGTTCGCCTATTGGGTCTGATGATGATTGGAGTGTCCAATCGAAATCGATCACCACTTACCATCTTTTTTGTATATTTACCAGTCTTGTGAGTAACAATATAAGCGTAAATATATGTTTTAAGTGTTATAAGACATTTCTTTTATTTACTTTCCGTAAATTTAATAACACGTACAATGCTGATCAAGAAGTTATTTAATTTACACTAATTTAATTTTTTTTTTAGGAAAAAAGAACTTGTCCTACATGTCGGCGCCCAGCTTGAGTTGCACACTTTATGGGCCTTGAGTTTGCTGTCCCTCGCCAGATTAAGCAATACATTTTATTTGTTAAATTATTTAGAAAAGACTTTGAGTTTGTTGTACCTCACCCTATTAAGCAATACATTTTATTTGTTATGATTTAGAAAAGACTTTGAGTTTGCTGTCCCTCACCAGATTAAGCAATACATTTTATTTGTTAGATGATTGAGATAAGATTATTTATTTACTTACTTTGTCTAGATGTAGTGAAAAAAGACAATATTAGATACCGTAGCACATTAACTTGTGTTTATATTTAAGCATTTTTTTACAATTTAAATGAGATAAGAATGTTAGTAAGCAAAATTGTTGTTGTTAATGTAGGTACATTGTTATTAACTTTCACTACAAACTTCTAAATAAATGTTTTTTTATAACAAAATCTTACTAATTAATTTTGTATTTCCTTATTTCATCTAAAACCTAGACTTTTAGGGTTCGGTTAAGATTTAGTTAGCTGGTTGAGTATATTTACACACTCCATTACGCTCACGTAGCATTCACATTCACCATATGCACCCAAATTGCCGTTTTAAAGATTGTAATAATTGACATTATGTTTGTCTTTTTATTGCCTTTTCATAATATTGTTAAGTTTTTGTTTGGATCTAGCAAATGGTGGTCTGCGATACTGTTACTGTCATTTCAAGTGGTCCATGGACCCCAGTTAGTTGGGAACCACTGCTTTAGTATATCTCTATAGAGAAGAAGGGTTTACTGATAACATGCCAACATGCCTCATGTGGGCCCAAACATTACAAGACGCCAAAACAACGTGTCAACTCGCAAATTCGCAAGTTAGAATTAAAACCAATAAATCATATTAGCAGTTTTTGATCAACCAGCTAGTCATTACACCGGAAAGTAGATTTTCATCAACAGGAGGGTTTACTTGGAAAAGGACTTATCCAAGTACAAATCACTCTCCTGAATAAAGTTATAATTTCACCTAATTCTTTCTACTCAATATTACATTAAAATTAATTTTTTATTGTTTTGTCAAAATTTGGTTGACATGTGAGAGTTTTATGAAACTAAGGGATGTAATTGAATATTTTTCTATCAATATAGTGTGTTTTAGATCAATTTAACTGTTTTTGAAGTTTAGTAGATAAAAAACAAGCAGTAATGCTCTCCTATGGCATTATCATTGTGAAACAAGGTAAGGCATCAGTTTATAAAAGCTGACTTTAAAAAATTGTCAGCTTAATTTTGACTTGTGTCCATTACTCATAAAAAGCTGGCTCCATTGAACTACCAAGCAGCCACACTATTTTAATTGGATCACTATCCTAGAGTAATTTTTTCCTGGGCTTTGTCAGGATGTTAGGTTACTGTAGGGGTAGGTAGGCCTACTTTTCTATCTTATTACAATGAGGTTAATCACTATTTTTGTGGCTTTCAAGGTTAAGTTAAGACCAATACCTGAGTTGCTGCCTTCTAAAAAGATCTAGACTTCTAACTCCAGAGCTTGTTTTGGAACCATCTGTGTAAATTGACGGTAGATTTTGTTAGTTTAAATTGTACTCATTGCAGTTTGGAACAAGAGCAGTGTGTTTGTGGTGGTTTTATTGGCTTACATTGGTGTTTGTTATTTGGTATTTTCCAGTGGTTTTGAGGTAAACTTGTGCTTTAGAGTGTATTCTTCATGTCCTGAGGGCTGGATAAGGTAAGGCTTTAGTTTTGGGTCTAGATTTAGTCATAGACAAAAAAATAATAAATATAGACTGTCAGCTGTTCTGCGATTACCATGGTTACCTTAGGTTCTGGCGCACACCACTGGGAGCGCCTTGTAGTTACGTAGCATGCACGCCGTAACTACATGGCGCTCCCAGTGGTGTGCGCCAGAACCTATGGTAACCTCAGCACGGCTGACGGTCTATATTTCATTCTTTTTGTCTATGATTTAGCTGGCTTAAAACAATTATGTGTAAAAATAAGTTTCAACTTCATGTGGAAAACTAAATTTGAGTTTCTAAACACTGAAAAACTGTTGATGATTTCAACATGTATTCATTAGAAGACTAGCACTGTTTAGATTGTAAAACTTTTGTTTTAAACGCGAGCTGTAAACACAGTTTAAGGAAGGGGAGTGTACTTTAAGTGACAATTACACATCAGTTCAAGGAGCGTTTTTACTATTTATTTATTTTTTTTTATTTTTACAATTACTTTTTCTTTAAAAGCTTGAATTTTTTTTTTTGCTAGAAGGCATTTCACAGGAGCCTCAATGTGTGTATCAGTTAGGCTGCATTTACACAGGAGTTTAAATTTAAAATAATGTTTTAAACAGTCTTCTAGTGTTCACAACATGAATTATGCTATCCACAAGAAGTCGACAACATATGAAAGAGTAGTGTAAACATTTGAGGATAACATGCGTTGACAATACGTGGTCAAAAACCTTGTTTACACCAGCATTTACGACAAAATGTTACATTGACAACAGCTAATATCAATAAAAGTGTTGCCTTTTTTATTGTTAAGTGCCGCAATTGCGGCTTTAGCTGTTGTTTTTCCATGTATAGAACTATGACAGGACTATAGTGTACCTAGTGAATATTGCTGTGGGTATGGATGTACTTTCTTGTAGGTGTTATATACAGCGTTCTATCTAACTGTTCAAGGTGACTTGGTATGTCCAAAGTAATTTGGTAACTAAAATATCAAAAGCACTGTAAGCAACAACAGAGAAGTAATTGGGTACAGAGGAAACCCATTTATTGGACTACTGTGAATTTTCAGCTCTGGTATATTGGGCCGAAATGTACTTGAGATGAGCAAGGAAGGGTCTGAGCATTTGAAGAAATTCCTATCGCAGAGGGCACAGGGTCTTCCTCTACCATGAATGTTATAGTACATGATTAGACCAAATTTCCTCAAAATCGGACCACAGGTGTGGTCCTGTGGTCTGTTGCTCAAATCCACACATAGACCAGCGAGCAAGGAATACCATTCCTGTCTACTGGTTGGTATTCCTTTCTCGCTGACATAGACAGACAGACACACACATCACTTCAAAAACCATGTTTTTTATGTTCAGGGGGACCCAAACGTCAAAGTGTTTACACCAAAGTTGACAACCAAAAGTTTACTACTAAATGTTGCTCTTCACTAATTTAGAGCAACTAATGGAAAACTTGTTGCCAAAGAATAGACGCGAAATTATCAGTACAGTTACACAGTAGTGTCAAGACTAGAAGAAGACTAGTGTGTTTGTCGGACGAAGAAGACACAATCTATACCTCCATTTCTGCTAATCCCGGCCTCTGTGATGGTTCTTGGTGTAGTTTTGTCCTTCATAAAAAGTAGGAACTCAAACACCCACCATTTCACAGATTGGGAAGCATCGGCACCACTCTTCTATTTCTTCGATTCTCTTCGGAAAACTGTAACTAAGTTCTTAATCTTACTCAGCACTTCAGATTTATCAACTTGCAGCTGGGCTGCAATTTTTCCCCCCAGGCGTAGTTTTAAGTTTTTGTCCTTGAATGCAGGGTTGGGTTCCAGAGAACCTCTCTGCTTCGGTACAGTTCAATAAGCTCGCTGGTTTTGGTCCTGGACCACTCGTACTCACTACAAGCTTCCATCACGACAAAAACACAGTAAACACAAAGAAATCACTGACGAAAACCTGGAGCTGAAAATACACACATGCACGGTCATTGCGTCGTGGGCCCATGGGGTGAGTATCTTCATCCCGACGTCACATCTTAGGTGCGTGGAGGGGGGGGGGATAGTTCTCCACTAGTTTTCCACAAGTTGCTTGCGCAAAGCGCGTAGCAACTATTCTTCCACTTTTTATTGTAAACTTTGTTTGATCTTCACCGACTCTCTGCGGGAAACCAAAATTTAGTGGAAAACTTGTCTCTCCACTAGTTGACGACAGAAAAAGTCGCTGCATTTTGTAGAAAAAGCAAGTTTCCGCAACTAGTGGAAAACCTGGTTGTTAACTTTGGTGTAAAAGCGGCTTAATATATATCCACTCCCAAACTCAAAAATGTTTTTACAAAAGCAATACTTTTACCAATGTATGGGGGGAGAAAGTATAAACAAACAAATTTCAATCAGCATAAAACCAGCATACTATAGTAACCTCAACACTTGTTTTCAGCTAAAGGAAGTTCACTGTAACAAATTTCCAGGGAAGGCCCCCTTTCTCCCTACGGGATTGCAGCGCAGGCTGTTTGCAAGCCTATGTCTTAGTTAAAATATTGTAAAATATGATCTCAGTTTTTAACAATAAAATATGTGTAATTTCAATATTTTAACCTTTTCAAGTAAATAAGGTCAGAAATATTAAACAATTTTGTTTTTAAATTTTTACTGACAACGCTCCTTTAAGAGGTACTGTAGAGATTAGATTTTATATAATTTTATTCAAAGGAGTCTTGAAAGGCACAAAAAGCTGATAAACAAAACTAATAATATTTTAATTTTTTCCCTAGCAAAAAAGCTAGGCAACCTCCAAATTTATAGTGGCGAGAAAACTGAATGATTAGAGATATTTTTGTTGGACCTTGTACAACTAAATCTACAGCTTTACTGGACCGATTTTATTATAGCCTATTTAACTAATTATTAGTTAAATATAATATAGGTAACAATTACATTTTAGCGAATTTCCCATATAGGGAATAAGCTATTACCGTAGTACTAATGGTAAGACCTGGACCCGGGACCGATCTACTTTTTCGTTTTGAGGTCCCCAAAAACACCATCCGTTTAAATTCATATATATATATATATTTATATAGGTGTCCGTGTCCGTTAGCGCGATAACTCGAGCAAAAATCATCCGATTTTGATGAAATATGGTACAAACGTGTAAACCTACATTTATTCGAACGAGTTCGCGAACCAGCATGATCGGACTATGGAACAGGGGTTTATGGGGCAAAAATTGGTTTTCCCCATTTTTGACCCTAAAAACTTAAAATTTAGCATTTTTCTTTCCAAACCATTTTGTAGAGCTTAAAAAAACAAATAATTTAGTATATTGAAGCGAATTATTATGCGCCTAATGGTTACAGAGAAAATTCCAAAAAACTGTAAATTTAAAATTCCCATATATTTGATCTTATGGAGAATAAGTAAACTGTTGTAGTTTGCTTGTTTATGATCATATTTTGATCAAATTTGGAAAATGCATTCATTTCATACTAAACTACTAACATTTTACAAAATAAACGGTATCAGCATTCTGACACATACTTTCTCCCATAAGTTTGTCAAAAACCTTTATCATATGTAAGTGGTGAGAGTAAATATACGCAAATGGGATTTGTACAATTTTGTTCACAATTTAAAGGACTACAACATGCTAAATTTTTATCAAAATCGTTAGGGCCATTTTTGGGAAAATCCGATTTTTCTGTTATTTTATGGGGGTTTTATGGGAAAATGACATAATTTACAATAACTTTTGAACCGTAATTTTTACAGATATGGGATTTGTACCATTTTGTTCAGAATATAGAGGACTATAACATACTAATTTTTTATCAAAATCGTTCGGGTCATTTTTGGGAAAATCATATTTTTCCGTTATTTTATGGGGTTTTATAGGAAAATCCCCATTAAAAATAAAAATGTCTAAAAAATTAAAAAAAAAAAACTATAAAAACTGTAAGGACTATAACATACTATGTTAAATCAAAATAGAATTTTTTTCATAAAATCCTATTTTTCGTTATTTTATGGAGTTTTTATGGGAAAATAACATACTTGACCATAACTTTTGAACCGTAATTTTTACAGACATGGAATTTGTACCATTTTATTCAGAATTTAAAGGGCTACAACATACTAAATTTTTATCAAAATCGTTCGGGCCATTTTTGAGAAAATCAGATTTTTCCAGTTTTTTATGGGTTTTTATGGGAAAATCCCCATTAAAAATCAAAATTTCAAAAAAATGAAAAAAAACGCCTGGAGATACAATGGATTAGAACCTACATACTAAATTTCATCGAAATCGGACCACAGGTGTAGTCTCTAGCTTTGTACACATCCAGACACACAGACACACACACACACACACACACGCACACACACACAGACATCACTTTGAAAACCACTTTTTTGGGTCCAGGGGGACCCAAAACGAATATATCCACTCAAAACTCAAACTCGAAAATTTTGACGAAAACAATACTTTCTCCATATACTATGGTATAGGGGGAGAAAGTAAAACACCTTTTTATACCCTCCCTGTTGTAGCAAACCTAAGTACTCGTTAAACTAATGTTATTTAAATGGGGAATAAATGTGATATTTTTAAGGAGACATTTTAGTGTAAATCCAATCAGGCAAATAGAAATTCGCTTAGTCTGCAGGTTTGCTGCGGCGGGGGTATTTAATTAATAAATTAAGATCAATGGAAAGCTACATCCATGGTATGCATATAATCTGATCATATGGAACATGTAACAGAGATGGTTGTTGCATTGTTATTTTTCATAGATCTTTCTTTGTTTACATTTCGTTGTTAACAATTCGAATACCGTTTAACTTAAAATTAGTGGCTTAAATCCCAACTTAAATACTGTACATGGAATGAGAAATAATATTTTTAAATTCCAATCATAAATACTGTGTACCGGTACAGTATCCATAATATTTTTACTGTTTCACTCATGTATTTCAAGCAAGACAGAAAAGTCAGTAAGCAAGCAAGCTTTATAATATTTTCCTTTCACGTCAACAATTCCAGTCGCGTGGGCTTCCATAGTAAACTAAATTATTACAGTCACACTAGTCACAGTGTTAAGTTAGTTTAGTGTAGTACGGAAGCTGGCTAAGCCAGGCCTCTGTTCCACCATTGACTTTATCCACGAATCCACGCTCAAAATGTCATGACTTCGTAGCTTTCGTTCAACACACTTTGAGGTTATATTGATAAGGGATATCATCAAAAGATCCAGTGATTATTTTATCAAATAGAATTTTTACTATGGTGAGCCTATTTTTCTAAATAACCTGTGAAGGGGAAACAAGGGTTTACACTGCGCTGATTTGTAGTTAAAACGTTTTGATACGTAATGTTCAAATTATATTTGATATAATTTAATAATAGGACGGGCATATTGTTTGTGTTTTTACTGTATTTTTGATAGAAGCTCTAACTTATAAACAAAACAGGCTGCTCATTGGGTTTTTTGGCGAGATATTCAGTTATTGGTTGAAGAGAAGCACTTTTCTAGAAACTCGTTTGTTATTATTGGTACCTGAAAACTTGAACTTAAATTAATTGCTGTAGTGTCTTAAATAAATTGGCAAATATGCCTACAGTACAAGTGCAGAACTTGCATAAACTCCTAACTATCAAAAGGCTATTAATAAAATGAAGAGATGCATTAGTTAGTTTAAACTCTATAGTATATTTTGGCGTTTCTACTTTCCAATTTTCCTCTATTTGTCTTGTTGAGAGCTGTTAACTAGTTTTAATAAAAGCCATTCCATCATTGGACGATATATTAATTAACTAATATGGCGCTGCGCGAGAAACGCCGTCTTTGCAAGTTTGTTACAGAATGGACTAAGCGCAGTGAATTTTCGCCGTGGTTAGTGTCAGTGACAGAAGACAAACACAAAGCACACTGTTTATTGTGCAGGAAAATATTTCCCGTTAGTCATGGAGGTTTGCATGATGTGAAGACGCATGCTAAAAGTAAAAGACATATTAGTCTACTACAACAGCAAGAAAATAGAGCATCGACAACGGGAACGGGAGGGCAGCTCTGGCCTACGCTAGAATCCCAATCTCATTACCTCAACCCTTCTATTTCAAAACATAGTTTTATTTCGGTAAGTGGCATAGTTTTAAGCTTCTTTTAACGTTAAAGCTGGTTTAGAGTGTTGATTTTAGTATCAAATTATGTTTCTAGCGATTATTCATTTTCGTTGGTGATTCGATTAATATAATATAATATCACGATCTACATTTTATAAAATTAGCTTACATGGCAGAGGTACCGTTTGTTATTCGATTTTGCATTACGAATTGAGGGCATTAACTTTTCGTCACAAGGTAGGCCAATCTATTTCTCAGTATTGATTATCTATGATCACAAGTTAGACTTTTTAGTTTGACAGTTAAGTTTTTAAATCATTTTATCTGATAAATTTAATTTACTTCTAGTTAACTCTAATGTCTCAATTAGGGTAAGTTGAAAAGTAAGTAGGCCTGAGTGAGAAAACCCTACATTGAGTTTTGTTTAGTCCTTTAAGTCAGTCAACTCAACTTAATTATAAATAGGCTAACTTAACTTAATTGATATTAAATCAACAGTTTAACTTAAGGTAACTGATTGAAAATTAATCTAAACAAATCAGCCTTAACTTAAGTTAGTTAGGGAAGAACACATAAGGCCTAACTTAATTCTAATCTATTTTTAGGGTCCTAAGTTAGGCTACCTACTAACTGGAATACTAATTAGGCCTAGGCTATAACTTAACTTAGGTTATTTTTATAATCGGTCAGATGAAACAGGATCTTAACTTAACCTACTTAACTTAAGATCACATTTTGGTTAAATAAATGACTTATTGACATTGAATTTCACCCTCTTTATAACTTATATAAAAATTAACATTTAATTTATTTCAACGGCAAAATTGCCAATTTATACATGGACAATTCAAAATAGACATGATTAACTGTGCAACAAATTCACAAGCAAAAGCAAAGAACAATATGTTTAACAATACAACAAAAGAAACAATCAGTCAACGAGAAATCAGGGGTGCCCACAAGGGGGGGCCGTGACGCAGACTGCGTCATTGAAATTCCTGGGGGGGGGCTCAAAAAATTCAAATGGGGGGGGGCTAAAGTTAATTGCAACAGTGTTCAACGTGACGACAATCCAAAATTCATTACGAAATCGCCAGATAGAAAGTGGATAAGACAATAGTTATATTATTGAATTAAATTAGTTAAAATAGGATTTTAGGATAGTTTAGGATTCGTGTAGAAAGTTATTATTTAAGATTAGCAAGACGTGAGATCTAAGAGAGGGAGCGCACGGGATGGCTCAACTGCTGTGATAGATAAAAGATAACGCGTGGTACAGACAGCTACACAGCAGAATGCTTTGTTGACATAAAGCTCGTTAAAATGCAATCAAGTAGCAAGTACCATAGGCTACAATACTTTACACTATTGTGTATACTCGATTACCTGAGTTAATAGGGAGAGGGGGGGGGGATGAAAAATACGGTTAATCCAATATAGTATAAAAACAGATGACAAACTCATTAAAACGCTGTAAACAGCCATTAAGTCACGATTAAATTTTTATAAACGAAATTCAATATTGCACAATCATTATTATTGTAAATTTCAAATATTTTATCTTGATTCAGTTGTACAAACGGCTACGTTTAAAATTGTAGCTAACTCAAACTCAACTAATCACTAGCCAAACATTACATTGCTATAAATAACGTAAATATTAAAGGAACCTTTAGAAAGTGTTATAAGGTACTGCTCATGATAGACAGATAGGCTACCGATAGGTGCTGTATCACAGCATAGGAATTGATAGATAAGTAATAAAAAAGTGTAAAATTATATTTAGAGATAATTAAAACACTCTTAAAAAAGAATGTAACGAGAACAATCTTGTTATTCTCTTTCTTTGTTCTTCTGTTCAAGGTTTCTCTTCAATTCATACACAAATTCAACAAGTCGCCATATTTAGGCCTACTCATTGGCCAATCACAGCCTTACTAAAGTTACCATGGTTATCACTCAATCACAGTGTTCTAAGCATTATACCGTCATCATTCCCCAGCTGTTGTATCTGACTAAAATCTGTTGTAACATAGCGCACAGCAGACAGAAGTGTATAACGGAGCAGACGATTGTTGGCGCAAGCGTTGTTTCCATTTCATTTTCATCAAAGGAGCTGTGATGTTTCTAAAGGGAGGGAGAGGGGATCGTTATTTCGAGAAAGACGCTGACAATTCGTTATGGATAATCTGCCAATACAAAATTCCTTAAATTGAGGTGACTTATAAAACTCTAATTTTATTTATATAGAAAGATAAGTATTCCAGTCCTGTACAACACTGATTCACGGTCTTTTCCCTGTAATCAAAATTCAAGTACAACTTGATACACACAGAATCTCCGGTTCCCGACCTGGATGATGGCTAGTTATTTAATGTAATTTACAGTTACATATTAGTACTCGTTATAAATCAAACCCGTTATATAAGCCAAAGCCACACGGTTATTAATCTCACTTGGTTTTGGATTTGCTTACAAACGTGATCGGAAATGGTTAGGGCCTACACAGTATTCTTAAAGAACATTTATGTAAACATATCAGTGACAGCTAGGAAAAGGAATCTTTATCAAAACAGCTGTTCGTAATTTCATATATGACGTGTTCTCTTAACAGATTATTAGAATTTCATAAATTAATGACGTATGTAGTAAACATGGAGAAAATAAACTAGAAAAATCACACAAAATTGTATTTTTGATCGTCCGTTATTTTATTTCCAAAATAGTGAGGCCATATTTTAATGGCTATAAGGACTCTCTCGCCAATCCTGTGGATACAATTAAACCATTAGAATCATAATCGGTACTCTAGTTTTCTTTAGAGTAGGCATTGAGTAGGCTGCATAAAATGCCTTCTGGGCCGTCACAGACGGACATAAATGGAGATAAGACATGTTTCAACTTCTTCAATGTATAAAACATAAATAACCCAAAATATGTATAATTCTGAGCAATGTACAGAAAAAACTATAACTTTATTGATATAGATTAACTGGGTTTGAATTTTAAATATCTAAAAAAAATTATAAAACTTCTTTTATAGTTTTACAAATAGTGCTGGGCGGGGGAATAATGTTTCTCATTTGTTGTGTACATCATTTATGGGGGGGGGGGGGCTGTTGCTCAATTGGGGGGGGGGTGCGTCATGAGTCTAGGGGGGGATGGGCACCCCTGGAGAAATATCAATACATACAATAACTATGCCAAAAATTGAAACAAGAACAAAAACAGAACAATAAATTAATTTACAATTCCATAATAAACACTAACAAGATCTAGGCCTAAGCAAACAGGAACAGTGAGTTTTTCTATTCTAGGCAGCAACAATATACAGTAACTTAATGCAAATAGGCTAATAGGACTAGTATGAAACATGGGTAAGAAATAGGCCTAGCACAAGTTTTGACTAGAAAATAATTAAGTTACAAGGAAACAGATAACTTATTGCACGATCAAACAATACCTTATAATTTATAATATGCTCAATTTAACAAGAAAAACCATCACATGCTGAAAAGAAAGAGAGAAATGAGAGAAAGACATATTCAGAACATCGACCCGGGGCGATGAGACCCATTGCACATCACTAAGAGCCACCGATCACTGAACACCATCACTAACTTGCGCCTTGAGCAAATTTCTTTTAAAGATGAGCTGCAGCAGAAGATGTCGAGGTTTCCAGGTATTAAGTTCCCGTGCCTTTGAAGTCTCACAAGTGGACTGTTACTTCCGTAATCTGAGGAAGCTGCTACCCTGGTGAAGAGTTCAGTGGAGCGAGTTCCAGTGGGAACCCTGAAGTTGACCTTTTGGAGTAGTTCGAGGCAATTGAGCTAAAAGGTGACCAGACGCTGGAGGAATAGTAAGTCGTGGTTGAAGCGTCGGGATTCCAGTTCCAGTGAAGGCAGCTTCAGGAAGGATTGCAGATCATTAATAGGAGCCTCAAGGAACCTGTATCCCAGGCGAGTACCCACGAGGCGCACAAATCTTCTTTGCACAATCTCCAGCTCGTCCTTCAGACATATTGTTGGTGAGGGGACCAGATAATACCACAATATTCCAGGTGGGGTCTCACAAGGGAATGAAATAGCAGCTTTAACGAGTAGATGCTATTGAAGGTTGATGAGATTCGGTGAATTAGGCCGAGGTTGCGTAAGGCTTTGTTGCAGAGAGAGTGGACATGGCGATCCCAGCATGTCTAACTTAAGTTAAACAAATAAATTGGCATAAGTTATTTTGTAAGTTAACTTAAGTACCTACTTAGCCTAGGCCTAAAAAAAGTAAGCCTACAAAATTTAAAATTAAGTTAAAATTTATTCCTTAATTATGAGTTTAGTTAGCCTAACTTAACATAGGCCCTCAGCCTCATTTTACTATGATCTGTCTAAAGCCGCCCTACTTTTAAAGTAAGTTATTTAAAGAATCTTGTGTGTAGGCCTACTTAGGCCTACTATTGCTCGAATTCGAGCACATGCGAAGTATTACAGGTATTATTTTAAAGCAAATAACATTCATGAACAGTTTGTACAATTTTAAGGGCAACCATTAACTTAAATGTGTCTGAGACGAAGTAGAAAGAAATGGCGGTCAGGGAGGGAAATTGAAGATGGAGCTGGGATTCCAAATTTTTTTTGTGTAAAAATTAATTTTTGAATTCTGATTGTAGGTACCGGTAGGTACTCTACTATTTTTTGTAAAATTCCCATTGTAAAAATTTTTCTCGCTGAAAAAGGTTAAGTTAATATAGATAGGTAGCCTAGATAACTTATAAATATTTAACGAAAACTAATATAACTTAACTGACTTAAGTTACTATAGTTCTCGTGATTGGTTTAAAGCAATGTCTTTATTATAACATAGTTCTTGGGGTTACAACCCATCCACAAAACTCCATAGGCCTATCAGGTACATGTTCTCAGACTAAATGGCTAAATGTTCTCAGGTAAAAATTTGATATTGGATTCCACCCTATTAATGAACATAAGTTAAAAGTAAGTTAGCCTACGGATTCAATAGATAGCCAAACTTAAGCGTAGCCAAAAACCATAGGGTGATTAGGTACTGGGAAACGCATGTTTTTGACTTGAGAAGTATACCAGGAAAATCGTTCGGTTACGGCAGGAAGTTGTTTTGCTGTGGTGGGGGAAGTGTGCAGTTTTAGTTGTAGCCGAGATGTGGAACCTTGAGCATCGTACATTTTACATGCAACGGTATTACGCAAATGGTGAATCAGTCACTCAGTCTCGGCGAGACTTTCGTGCACATTTGGTCCACTTGCATGGTGCTATCCCTGATCGTAACACGATATTGCGTTGGATACATAATGTTAACACAATTGGATCTTTGTTTAAGAAGAAACCTCCTGAACCGGCAAGGACAGTTAGTACCACTGAGAGAATTTAAAGAGTGCGCCTTGCAACAGTTAAGAGTCCGCCTAACCGCTCAATTCGGTAGCGGGCATCTGCTCTTGGACTTCGCCCATCCACTGTGAGAAATATTTTAGTCAAAGATCTTAAATTTCATCTGTTCAAGCTGGTAGTATCGGTATGTCATCAATTGAGTCAAGCAGATAAGAGACACGTGTAGGCCTACAGTTTGTAACACAATCACAATGAGTGAAATTTTGGAAAAAAAGACGAAGAAGTTGTCCTTATGAGTGATGAAGCGCATTTCCACGTGGACGGAGGAGTCAACAAACAGAATTTACGATTTTGGTGCGCAGAAAATCCTCAAAACGTAGCTGAGAAACCTCTTCATAGTGATGACTGTGTGGAGTGCGGTTAGTGAAAAAGGGATCGTTGGTCCTTATTTTTTAAAGACAACGACGGCAGAGCAGAGGCAGTAAATGCACAAATGTGAAAATGTTGGAAGAACTGCGCCATCAACGTGTAGAGATACGTAATGTATGGTTCCAACAAGATGGGCAACAGCCCATACATTAGTATGGAATTCTTTCAGCGAAAATTCCCTACAAGGGTGATCTCACGTTTTGGTGATTTCACTTGGCCTTCTCGCTCACTGGATCTTACAATTCCAGAATTCTTTCTGTTGGAGATTTTTTAAATCTAGAGTTTTAGAGATGAAATTTTTAAACGCTAAGTTTTAAGTAATTTTATTCTTAAATTGCACATTGTGTACACTTTTTTTCCACTCATGAATATATTTTTTGCTCTGAATCACCTGAGTACTCGTTATTTGAAAAATATGCGTTTTTCGGTAATCACCCTCTATGTATAATGATTGTAAGAATAATGCTGATGGAGTCAGATCAAAATGTTTCCCAATATTAAAGTAAGTTATTTATAATAACATATAAAACTTTTATTAAGTGTAGGCCTACCTAAAAAACTTACCGTAACTTATATTCTAAAAGGTTTTGGAAGGGTAAACTTACCAAACTTATTTAACTTAGGTATATTGATTGAAAAAGAGTTAAAATAATCACAATCAAATTTTCTCTGGAAAAACACAAAATACCCCTGCCGCAGCAAACCTGCAGACTAAGCGAATTTCAACTTGTCCGATTACATTTTTACTAAAATATTTCCATAAATAAGACATGTTTATTCCCAATTTAAATAACATTAGGCCTAGATTTAACCAGTGCTTAGGTTTCCTGCTACGGGGTAAAAAGTGTTTTTTGACCATATGTCAGTAAAGAATGAAATAAATAAATTTGCCAAATTTTATCAACATATCCATTAACAAGTAAACTACAATAGTTTTCATTTTCTCCATAAGAATAACATGGGAATTTTAAATTACACTTTTTTGAATTTTCTCCGTGACCGTTAGGCATAAAACAGCGCTTCAATATAGGCCTACTAAATTATTTCTTTTTTTAAGCTCTACAAAATGGTTGAGAAAGAAATTGCAAAAATTTTAATTTTTTTAATTTTAAATTTTTTAACCTATTTTTACCCCATAAAACCCCCCATAAACCCCTGTTCCCATGGTCTGATTATGCTGGTACGCGAACTCGTTCGAATAAATGTAGGTTTACACGTTTGAACCAAATTTCATCAAAATCGGATCATTTTTGCTCGAGTTATCGCGCTAACGGACACATATATAAATATATATATATATATGAATTTGAACGGTTGGTGTTTTTGGCTATTCCCTATATGGGAAATTCGCTAAAAGACACAATAATTATAGGTACCTATTTTGTAGGCCTTGTAGCCAGCTTGTTAACAATAACACCCCTGCCGAAGCAAATGTGCAGACTAAGATTTACAGTACCTAGTGCTGGAATTTCACTAAATTATTCCCTTAAAATTGTCGGATTTATTTCCTATTTAAATATCATTACCTAATTTAAATGAGTAGCCTACTTAGGTTTGCTGCTACAGAGAAGATAATATTTTAAGGTGTGTATTGATAGCTAAGTTGATAGCTTAGTTTGTTATTTAGTAAGTTTAATCAATCTTTCCAAATTTCGGTTCATTAAAATAATTATGTCCATAGACAAGCGAGCTACAAAAGTTTATTTATTCCCACTAGAATAACATGGCAATTTTAAATTTACACTTTTTTGGAATTTTGTCTTTAACAGTTAGCTAGATACAACAATGCTTCATTAAACTAAATTATTTGTTTTTTTTAGCTCTACAAAATGGTTTGAAAAGAAATTGCAAAATGTTATGTCTTTAGGGTGAAAAATGGGAAAACCCAATATTACCCTATAAAACCCCCCATAAACTTTCGATCCTATAGTTCGAACATGCTGGTTCGCTAACTCGTTCAAATAAATATAGGTTTACACGTTTATATACCAAATTGAATCAAAATTGGATCATTTTTGCTCGTGATATCGTGCTAACGGACACATATAGAAATATATATATATATAAAACTTAATATAGGCTATATATATGTATATGAATTAGAACGGATGGCATTTTTGCCCTCTGGGGACCTCAAAACGAAAAAAAGAGATCTGTCCCGGGTGCAGGTCTTACCTTGAGACCTACGATAACAGCTTATTCCCTATATGGGAAATTTGCTAAAACGGCGCAACAACAGCTGATCTAATTGCACTGGCTGGTTGGCTACCATTCGACAACAAACCGTGCAGTGTGAAAGCTTGTATTTAAGTACAGTGTGCACCATTAACACAGGCCATGGTTCAATAACTGTCTGGTTTAGTGGCAGTGGACGGCTGCAAGAGGATGGTATGGATTTCTGCCGTCGTCGTAACCATGTTGTGTGAAAGCTTTCTTGCTCTTCTTAACTCTACTGTACACTAAACAATTGACCCTTAAATTGTTTAACCATATGTGGCAAAATTGTGCAAGGGACCACAGCTTTGACTATAGATCAAACGTTACGGTATTAACCATAAGACAAGGCAACATCGTTTGAATGGTTTGAAACTTGACCCAGCTGTTCTTGATCATTGAGCTTGAACTGTTTAGCCCAACTAAACATACCCTTCATAAATTAGCATATCCTTCATATGGGTAAACTTAAAAAAAAGTAAAATAAACCCTTCACTTGTAAAGTATAATGAAATATGAATAAAAATACCAAAGAGCATGATGATAAAGTAGGACGTATGTAGGCCCTACATTTTCTCCGGAAAACAATGCCTACTTCTCAGGCCTTTAAAAAATGTAACATGGGAAGAGAATATTTTGCACAGTCGATGAAAAATATAATATAGTAGAGTCCCGCAAACTCGGCGTAATGTGGACTGGAAGGGTGCCGAGTTTGTGAAATGCCAGGTTATCAGGAACTAGGGTTAAAAATAAGAACAATAACATTTTTAAGCTTTTTAACCGCCTTTTTTATTTATATTTATATTACAAGTCATCAGATATAGTACAACAAACCCTTGGTATGAGTTATGAGTTGTGAATGATTTGACTTGAGTCCATTTAGTTTAATGACTTGAGTCATTTAACTCAGACTCAAAAAAATCACAAATTTTCTGAGCCAGATGATGGCCGAGTTATCCAGACTGCTGGGTTATCGAGTGCCGAGTTTGCGGGATTCTACTGTATTTTCAATGGAGTTCTCAGTTATTACTTTGAACTAGCATTTCCAAAAAAAATTATACATAACTCAAAAGAATAAAAGTCAAACTTAATGTCAAATGTAATAAAAACTAATAGACAAGAATTAAAATACCCCCGCCGCAGCAAACCTGCAGACTAAGCGAATTTCCATTTGACTGATTGGATTTACACTGAAATGTCTACTTAAAAATATAACATTTTTCCATGTTTTGGGCTAAAAGAGAAAGTGTGTCAGATTCTGATAACCGTTACATCAGGGAGTCTATGCTTGGTAAATCTATTAATCAATTATTTTTTATTGTAATATTCCTTAGTTGTTTGAATAGCAAATAAATTATAAATATTAGTCCACTAAAAAGTGATTTATTGTTATGCCAATTGATGTTTTATAAGCTATAAATTCTTATTATATTTTTCAGACTCCAAATGAAAATTCAGAAGAAACACTATTAGGAGAAGATTCCAGTGAAATCCCGACAGAAGTTACCAAACTATCTGAGGAGAGTGAATCTGAAGAACCGTATAACAGTTCGGCTGGCTCAATGCATCCGATCGCCATGGCCTCCCCTGGCAAGATGGATACTCCTCAGCAGTATTGCTTGCGATGGAAGTATCATCATTCTAATCTTCAAGTAATGTTTTCTCAACTTCTGGAAAGGGAAAGTTTTTGTGATGTTACTTTGGCTTGTGAAGGAAAGACCCTTAGAGCACATAAGGTTAGTACCGTATCTTTTTGTTTTATTTGCTGATGACTTTTCTAGAAATAAGTTAAGTCTGAAATATGAAAATACCTTTGTCGCAGAAAACCTGCAGACTAAGAAAATTTCAATTTGTCTGATTGGATATTTTAAACATTTGAACCATAAACAACACATATTTATAATCCTTTTAAATAACATTAGATTTAACCAGTACATGATGCAGGATGTCTCCGTCCGTAGTCCTTTCCGTAAGGAATTGGACCTTCTTGAATAAAGGTTAGGATTCCTATTAATTAAAAAAAAAATTCCAGTTTGGCTTTTACTGTGTTTTAGTAATTTATGACTGAATGAATAAAGTGCTTTATTTCTAAATAAACATTCCTCTCTTAACATAAGCATACACTTAATTAGGCATAAACAGTGGTCTACGACCGTCTGGTTGGCACACCTGAATGTTGAAACGCATTTCTGAAAATAAATTAAAACAAAATACACTTAATCCGCAACATACACAAATAAAATACCCAACTACATCCATTTTATACAAAACTAAAAAAACCTATTTCATAATGGTTTACATAACTTTTATTTTATTTAGGTATAAAATTTTCAAAATTAGTTTTAATAGGTTTATGCATAAATAAAATCCATATAAATTACTATGAATATTCAATATAGAAGACAGACTGACAAGTTTTTTGACATAATAATTGTTTAGCTAGAATTTTGTTTTCAAAATTTAGAATTGTAAAAGAGAAGTAAACAGTTTTGAATTTTGAAAAAAAACTTTTTCACTTTGATTTATTCATAATTAAATTCTTTAATTAACTCCCACCTCCTTCTCCATGCCTCTCTCATAAAGTTTGCTATTCTACGCCAATCTTCCTTAGGAAATACCTAAGGAAGATACTTACTTACTGACAGGAAGGTATCATTTTCCTGGATGCAGTGTTAAATCCTATTCTAAAACCCTTCCATCACTCGTTCCAGCATCATTTTATTTGGTGACTGTGTCGTAAAGATACATCAATCTTTGGGGTTTGTTTATGTAGATGGAAGCTTTGAGAGCCCTCTGAGGTTAACAATTTTGCAATTAGTGATTTTGAATGCCACAAGATATCACAAGAAAGTAAAATAAGTCTTCCTTTAAACATACAACACTCAATTGCTATTGCCCCATTAGTTAGTCATATTTTTTAGTGCAGTATTAGTTTTTAGTAGTATTTGTTGTTTAGGAGTTGATGGGGCTAGAATTTAAACTGTGTTACCTTTTCCAGATGATGTTATCTGCATGCAGCACCTATTTTGATGCAATATTCTCTCAACATGAAGAAAACAATCCTATCGTTATCTTGAAAGATGTTCGTTTTGCTGATATCAAGGCATTAGTTGAATTTATGTATAAAGGAGAAATTAATGTAGAAAATGTAAGTATTAACCATTAACCTAAATAATTACATTATTAGGTCTTGTTATAATCAATTTGTTTAATCCCTACCTTATCAACCAATCCAATGACAATTTCTAAAATCCGCAGAAGATGTTCAGGACTTGGCCGCGACCGCGGAAAACTATGATGACGTTTCCGTGACCGCGGAAGACAACAATAATGTTTACAAACCAAATCAGATGTCCAGGATTTGTCCACTATTACGGAAGACTGTGATGATGTTTACGTCACCGTATGATGTGACCACACAACCACTGGAGATCTTCAGGATTTTGACGTCGAGTATCATTGCTTTTATGGACAATGGACATAATATTCAGAATTTTGTTAGTATCGAGAGAGTCAATGTTTTTACAAGTGATGATGATAATGAAAATGAATACTATAAATAAGGGATTTTTTACACTAGCTCACTGAACAATTAGAAATCTACAACTGTGATTTATATTGATATATAAGCTGCAAGTCTTAAATTGGTCATAGTTTAAGTGGAACTAAACATTCACACGGGAACCTGTAAAAGTTTTGAAAAACCAGGAAAAACCTGGAATTTCACTTAGAAACATAGTATACACCCTGTATACAACTCTGAAGTTAGTAGTTGTAGATATTCATGACTTTTTTGCAGTCACACCTGTCCTCACTGCTGAAGACTGCTGAAGAGCTGAGGATAAAGGGCCTAGCGGAGGTGTCTTGGCGGTCTGAGGGTGAAGGCAGCTGGCGAAGTGTCGAAGGGGGCAAGGTACAGTCAACAAATCCAGTATGACCGATAACTTAAAAAGTAGTAACCACTGTGCTAGTTTAATTGAAATGTTAAAAAAAGAAAAGATATTTTTTGTTTAAACAAACTAATGACAAAAACATTTGTTAAATTGTAAACTAAAACCAATATTTCAAAAAGTAGGCCTACAATTTGACACTTCAACAATATGTTGAAAAAACACATTTTATGGTAAGTTGCTGACTTTTTTTAGTTATAAATGACTTTTCGACATTCTTCTAGTAATATAATAACTAGAACGTAGTTATTATATTAGTTATTAACTTAGTTCAAGAATCACATATCATAGGATCTAAATATCCAATGTGAGGTTTGTTTGGTGAACTTTCTGAGCCAGTGGTAATGCTTCTGAACAAATCTGGCAAAAACAATACTGGTACAGTTACAGTAGTGACGGTTGTTAACCGGTTGTTTGTTAGCCGGTGGAGCGGAGAGGTGTTGAGAGGTGGGGGGCTGAGAGAGTTCCCCAGTTTGTAGATGCAGGAGAAGACGTGGACTCAGAACCTGAGCCACCTCCACCCAAGAAGATGAAGCCACCTCCACCACTGCTGCCTCACCACACACTACCCTTACCTGTAGCGGAACACTTTAGTCCTAAGGTCACCAGTGTCCAGGGCAGTGTTGGTTCTAAGGAGGAGTTCACTGTGAGTATAGACTAGAAATAGGAAAAGTGTAAGCTTATAAAGCCAATATTTTACATACTATCCTGTTTCAGAGGAGATTGTGTTTGGCAAAGAGTCAATCTTGCCTGTTGGCTAAGATCAAAGTGTAAGATCTTAAATCAAAATTGTTTCCTAACTTAAACTTATTATTTTAGTCCCTATGCTAAATCAAATCTCTAAAAACTGAAACCTCCTAAAACACTGAAATTGGAAGTAGTAGTTTAGACAACGATTGCATAAAGACAGTGTTAAGGAGACGAGTAGAAAAGGCTCGTACCTTAAGAACTTCTACGAGTGTCGTTAACACTATTTACATGAGTTGCGCACACCACTTTACCTACCACAGTGTTTTTTTAATTACTAAAAATCACTACTCATACCTTCTAAGAGAGGTTATGTTTTCGTTTATAACCTCTCATTGCCCACATCAACAACATCAAACACACACAACAACAAAACAACACACAGTGATGCAACGAAATATTGTACCAAACACTAATTATTGCACTACTCAACAATTAAATTGGCCTGAACAGCTGATTAGTTAGAATCATTACAATTTTACTTCTTTTCTCTCAATCCTTGAACCTCATTGGTCCGTTACCCGTGTTGTTATGAGTAAAACTATGCTGTTATGAAAGTAAACAATTATAGTGTCCGGCAACTGGGCATAGCGGGAATTATAGGGGAATATCATGACACCGGGAACTATGCGGGAATTATACGGAAATTCTGTGATTATGGCAGTAATGTGCAGGAACTTTTCTGGGATCAACGGATGAAACTGTGAAATTATGTAGCTACATAATTTCACGGTTTCATCCGTTGACAAAAGATGTTGTGTCTGTTCTTAATTAATCAATTTTGTATGTTTAGTGTATGAATGTAATGTAATAATTGTTCATTAATCCTACACTCTATGAAGTATTTTAAGGCTTGTTGCCGGTGGTGTGATAACCGACGGAAGGTCTAATATCGCTTGAACTGCAGCGTTTGCCAAACTGTGCTTGTCCAATATGAACTGTATGTCAAATATGAGAAGGGCGAATATCTTGTGTTACCGTACTTTACTTGCACTGCACGGCATTTTAGTTTAAAATTTTGGTTTAAATTTTAGTTTGGTGTTATAGAACAGAAGAAGGTCGAGAATCGCTTGACAAGATAGCGAAAGAGAGTGAGAGAATAGGTTTTGTTTTCTGACCAGGACGTCATTAGGGCCTAACTGTTATAAAATTAATTGTACAAAACACAAAAATGTTGGTTATTGTTTACAGTGAAAATGATACAAATTTTAGTTCCCCTACTTCCTTAGTGTAGACCATATTTAATCGTTAGTACTTGGATATTGCTTCTGTAAGAACAATTATTTGGTCGGTTGTGGACCTCCCTTTTTGAAATCCAGCTCAAATTAATATTTGAGATCTTCAATTATTTCTTCTGAGTACACTTCTAGTCTTTTCTGAATTTACTCTGGTAGAATCTTGTATGATGTGTTCAATAATGAGATTCATCTGTAATTCTTTGGATATTCTTTGTCTCCCTTTTTGTGCATAGGTAGGCCTACTATTACTAGGGTTGCTTTCAGAGAGGTGAAAGCCAGTTGAGCGGAACAAACGTGATTTGATATTTGTATAAGTCAAGTAACTAAATGTAAAAAGGTCAATTTACTAATGCTGGTTTTAAAGATTAAAATGATAACAATTCAAATTTACCTCTTCGAGAAGTGCATTATGGTAGTTTTGACCAGGAAAATAATACAGTAGTTGGAATCTGATATTAACATCCAAAAAGGGCATTAAAGTATAAAAAAGAGAAAGGAAATTTAACATTCAAATTCAACTGTAGCCTACAACAAAAACATTGGACTTCATTTTTCACCCTTACAATTGGTTAACGTAGTTAAGTATAAAAAAACAGTACCTATTAAAAAACGAGTATTGTACAACAACAGGAGAGGAAATGTGACATTTAAATTCAACTGTGCAGCATAAACATCGGTTAAACTCAGCTTTCTTTGCTGGAAATAATTAATGATGATTGTTAATACCAAGTATTCTTGATGGAGGATATGATTGTAATGTAACTGGAATGTAGGTCTTCTGCCATTATTAGGACCATTTAGCGACGGCATTTTAATACTGGCCTTAATAATACCATTGGCCATTTTACAGTAGATTTTGATGAAAATGCTAGCTACAAATTCAACATGGGGATGGAATGTCTAGTTGTATTGATAGTCAAAGATAAACACAGGCCTACGAAAAATGTAGGGCTATTTTAATGTAAGACTCAAATGTAAAACGCCTTTAAAAGACTAAAATAAACTAAATTATCAGTCATGTATTTCAATGTGTAAAAACGTAAAAACTGCAAAAACAATGTAGATAATATAATTAGAAATTAGTAGCCTACTTCTGGACAGGCCTAGACAATTATCCATACCGTGGTTAAAAGTGTACTTCTATAAGCCCAGGTTTACTTATTACGGTTGTAACTGGACGTATGTATAGTCCGTGGCTTGGCAATCAAATAACAGTATTTATATAGGATAGGCTACTTTTATCAACATTTGAAATGACTGAATTGTTACCAAATTACTGTTTCACAAAATGCAGATTCCATTTTCAGCCGAGCCATTAAAATGAGGATTTGCCGAACAATTATTATTATTACAGAATAGTATATAATGATATATAACTTTTCACATTCCATAAATTATATGTTAGTTTTGCTATGGTCAAAGGTCCAAATCCAAATGTTCTCTTTTCTTTTGGTCAGTATGTAATAATTTGCTACAATCATTGACTTTATATAAAGTCAAAGCTAGAATACTGTAGATGGTTTGTTAAGTTAAGACCATATGCAAGCATTTTTGAAATCGTTTCCCCGTTTAACCTTAACCAACTATTCCATTCCAAAAGATAAATACCCCTGCCGCAGCAAACCTGCAGACTAAGCGAATTTCCATTTGATTTACACTGAAATGTCTACTTAAAAATATAACATTTTTTCCCCGATTTAAATAGAATTAGTTTAACAAGTACTTAGGTTTGCTGCATCAGGGAGGTAAAACTGTTTTTTTTATGTTAATAGTTAGTAAGAAATAAAAACATTTTTCAAATTTGATCAAAATATGTTCATAAACAAGCAAACTACAACAGTTTACTTATTCTCCATAAGAATAACATGGGAATTTTAAATTTACAATTTTTTGGAATTTTCTCCGTAACCATTAGGCGCATAATAACGCTTCAATATACTAAATTATTTGTTTTTTTAAGCTCTACAAAATGGTTTGGAAAGAAATTGCTAAATTTTATGTTTTTTGGGTCAAAAATGCGAAAAACCTATTTTTACCCCATAAAACCCCCGTAAACCCCCGTTCCCATGGTCCGATCATGCTGGATCGCGAACTCGTTCGAATAAACGTAGGTTTACACGTTTGTACCGAATTTCATCAAAATCAGATCATTTTTGCTCGAGTTATCGTGCTAACGGACACATATACAGGGTGAATTTTAAATGAGTTCCCCCCCTACTTTTTTCTACATTTCTTAAGATATCAACTTCGGACCACGTCAGATCATTGTAGTGTAGTAAGTACTTCATTTTGACTGGGTAAACATTTTTGGCCGCCATCTTGGATCCTCCATATTGGATACAAAAATTTTTTTTCAAATATAAAGGTAGGGTTGTGACCCATTTTTTCAAACTAGAATTTTACGCTGATTACAATGCCGCAATTAGTTTTTAAAAATCTTTATCTGTTCTAAAGTTATAAGGACTTTTTATAACTTTATTTTTAGCCCATTTTAACATTGTGCATTTACAAACTAAGGCCATAATCTCAAAATAGTGCTAGATAAAGATAAGTATACACCACCATTCATTGTCGACCTATTATCACTTGGTTATGATGGATGTATTTTTTTCGGCCGCCATCTTGGATCTGCCATTTTGAAATGTGACAAATTAATTTAAATATGAAGGTGGTGTTGTGACCCATCACTTCAGACTACTTTTTTATGCTGAATTTAATGCCGCAATCCATTTTGCATTTCCATATTTTTTTTGTTGAAATATTGGAAATTTAAGTAAGATAATTTTAATATTTCATCAAGAAAGCATGAGAAACGAAAACGGATTGCGGCATTGAGTTCAGAATAAAAAAGTAGTCTGAAATGATGGGTCACAACACTGCCTTCATATTCAAATTAATTTGTCACATTTCAAAATGGCAGATCCAAGATGGCGGCCGAAAAAAATACATCCGTCATAACCAAGTGATAATAGGTCGACAATGAATGGTGGTGTATACTTATCTTTATCTAGCACTATTTTGAGATTATGGCCTTAGTTTGTAAATGCACAATGTTAAAATGAGCTAAAAATAAAGTTATAAAAAGTCCTTATAACTTTAGAACAGATAAAGATTTTTAAAAACTAATTGCGGCATTGTAATCAGCGTAAAATTCTAGTTTGAAACAATGGGCCACAACCCTACCTTTATATTTGAAAAAAAATTTTTGTATCCAATATGGAGGATCCAAGATGGCGGCCAAAAATGTTTACCCAGTCAAAATGAAGTACTTACTACACTACAATGATCTGACGTGGTCCGAAGTTGATATCTTAAGAAATGTAGAAAAAAGTAGGGGGGGAACTCATTTAAAATTCACCCTGTATATATATATATATATATATATATAAATATATATATATATATGAATTTGAACGGATGGTGTTTTTGGTCTCTAGGGACCTCGAAACGAAAAAAAAAATCGGTCCCGCGTCCAGGTCTTACCATGAGTACTACGGTAATAGCTTATTCCCTATATGGGAAATTCGGTAAAATTATATGGAGCAACACAAATAAACAACCCGATCACCTACCTATAACCTACACTTTACCTTCCTAAGCTAACCTTACTTCAAAACACTTAATGTAGTCACGAATACTCATAAACCCCGACCTACCTCCCCAGATGCCTAAATTAGATCAGTGTTCAATCTGCGTTTTATCAATAAGTGTAATAACTTACTGTAACGTCGATGTAATTCAACATAATATAACCTATGAGGTATTATCGGATTAAATACCGATTTCGATGCGGTTCGATATATCGCTTATTAAATCCTGATTTCTAACATTGGCTGTTTCTAATCAGCTGGCAACACAAATAGGTTCCCAAGAAAGTAGTCACCGGTCCGTATCCCTCCGCTTCTTGTTTATGCTCCGCGCATTGAGAAAGTAGTTCCGTATATTTTCTCGATTTTCAGTGAATTTTGCGCCTTAAAACAATGTTTTAACGGCATTTTCTTGTTTATTAAAATCATAGGAATGGTTTAAAAACGTTTAAAAGAAAAGTATAGAAAGTTCAGAAATACCTTATGATTCTCTTGTTTACATTTTTCTTGTAAACAAAAAAACTGTCATAGCTACTTTAGTCCCATAAGCCTAATGTTAAAAATTTGAAATTTTAAGTTCGTTTTAAATTGCATTAGCAATTATCTAATTGAAATTTGTTTGTTTACAAACCATCTCATTATTAGTCTAAGTAGTCTTGTTAAGTTTGGCTGAAATGTGTTCAGCCGTTATTGAGTGATGGGGTTATATTGTTTGCATTGAAGTTGATCCCAAAGAGCTTCGCTCGCTTCGCTCGCTCCGCTCAATAACTTCATACTATTCCCAAGGCATTTCTTCTTTCTCCCACATATCTTCTATGAGCTTATGCAGTTGATATGCTACCCTGATGCCACCAGCCTTTAGGCTAATATTTCGGAGCTTATTCCATCTCTTCCTGGCCTTGTAATTCTTCAGTCCTTTAATTATTTCACTGACCTCTTCTAAACTGGGGCTTTCTACTTTGATTTCAGTTTAATATGTAAGATAACTAAAATAATTGATTTTTAATCAAAATCTTAAACTTAAACAGTTATGTTTTGCTGATGTGTGTACAATGTTTGGTTTTGAAGGAACAAAATGAGCCAGTTCCTGAACCAGAGGTGACCATGTGGGAGCCAGAAGCAGCTGTGGATGAGTTTGAGGATGAAAATGAGACATCACCAAAACCACCTGTAAGTCACAAGATTACGTTAAATTTAAAATAAAGTTGCCTAATTTGCATCAACTTACAATAGTTTTTCCTTTAAATTCAGCTTAGGTACAATATTTTCACAAATGTAAACCAGAAATGTACTACTAAATATTATCTTAAATAAGTTCTTAAAATTGAAATTACCTTTCAATTTGATGAAATCAAGTTTCACTTCAAATATTTTAATAAAGAAGAATATTTTTTCACATGATGTCAATATGTCTAATTAACTTACTAATTTTCTAATTTTTATTTAGGAATATATTATCGATAGCAAGGGACTTTGCATGCCTTAGTCTTGACTTAGTTTCTTATAACTAGGTGGCGTTCGCAGATGCATCCACAAAATTGAGCGGAGTCATCAAGGGTTCATATTATATTGTTTTTGTCATACTGCAGTAAAAACAGTTGTCATTGATGCATGCATGCGTTCCGGGTCTAAAAAAGTAGCAAGAGTAAAAAGTAGCATTTTTACTCTTTAGGAAATAAAATTCGTTTTTAGCCTCTATGGAGTAAAACTCAGCTGTTGTCAACTCAGTTGTAAATTTATATTGTAAACGGTTGAATACGTATCGAAATATGTAACGATTCGTGCTTCATAATAATTTTAACCAGTATCTTCCCATAGCATTTTAGCATTGCAGATACATTAATACATTCCCACACTCAACACTGCCAACCTTTACTACTTCCTTCACCACCCCTACGTCGTGGACCTGTTTCCCTCTCTTCCCATAGCATTTTAGGATTGCAGACATTGTAATTGCCAAAGACAGTTCCCACACTCTGCACTGCAAGCCTTACTACTTCCTTCACCATGTCCTACGTCATAGACCTGTTTCCTTCCCTTTCCATAGCATTTAAGTATTAGATACATTTATCTAACTGCCCAAACGGTTCCCTCACTCTGCACTACCAGCCGTTACTACTTCCTTCACCACTTCCTACGTCGTGGGGCCTGTTTCCTTCCCTTCTCATAGCATTTTAAGATCGAAGATACATTAATCTAACTGCCACAGACGGTTCTCACAATATGTCCATACTTCATTACTTCCTAAGCCACTTCCTACATCGTGGACCTGTTTTCATCACTTTCCATAGCATTTTAGTATCTTAGATACATTAATCTAATTGTCACAAACATTGCCCACACTCCACACTGCTAGCCTTTACTACTTCTTTCACCATTTTCTATGTCATGGGCATGCTTCCATCCCTTCTCATAGCATTTCAGCATTGCAGATACATTAATCTAACTGCTACAAACTGTTTCCAGTTCACAAACTCACACTGCTCACCTACTACTTCCTTCACCTCTTCTTACGTCGCAGACCTGTTTCCCTCCTTCCCATAGAATTTTAAGATTGTAGATACCAAGATACCTTAATCTAATCGTCATAAACAGTTCCCACACTCCGGAGAACTCGCCTTTACTACTTCCTTCACCACTTCATACGTCACGGACCTGTTTCCCTCCCTTTATATAGCATATTAGGATTGCAGATACCTTAATCTAATCGTCATAAACAGTACCCACACTACGGACAGCTCGCCTTGACTACTTCCTTCACCACTTCCTACGTCACGGACCCGTTTTCCTCCCTTCCCATAGAATTTTAGGAATGCATATACCTAAATCTAATCTTGATAAACAGTTTCCACACTCCGGACAGCTCACCTTGACTACTTCCTTCACCACTTCCTACGTCGCGGACCCGTTTTCCTCCCTTCCCATAGAATTTTAGGAATGAAGATACCTTAATCTAATCGTTATAAACAGTACGTCACGGACCTGTTTCCTTCCCTTCCAATAGCATTTTAAGATTGCAGATACCTTAATCTAATTGTCATAAACAGTTCTTACCCTCCGGACAGCTCGCCTTGACTACTTCCTTCACCACTTCCTACGTCACGCACCCGATTTCCTCCCTTCCCATAGAATTTTAGGAATGCAGATACCTACCTAAATCTAATCGTCTTAAACAGTTTCCACACTCCAGACTGCTCACAATTACTATTTCCTTCACCACTTCCTACGTCACGGACCTCAAGCTAGTGTCGTCATTTGATTACATTTATGATCCATACCACCGTTTATGTTCTAATGACTGTGGAATAATGCTATCAGCTATTTATTTACCTACTGCATTCAAAAGTCAACAGCTGATCATATGTCTTTGTTTATGTGTCAAATACTGCTTCCATAAGGATTACATTGAAACTTTCAGACCCAGTGGGGCGGATTCCTGAGAGACTTTTTTAACGCCATATAGATGTTGGCACTCACCGGTATGGTCTTTATCACCATGCAAAATTTGAAAACGATTGATTCAGCCGTCTAGGAGGAGTTTGCGTATTACGAAATGCATAAAAGTCGACGTATAAGAGCTTCGCTCAATTATTTGTAAATAACCAACTATATCCCTTAAGAACCGATCTTGCAAGTTATATTTCACTTCAATACATTCAGTAATATCTATGAAATGTTTTGCCATTTCACTTTTTCATAGTAGTAATGGTTTTTGGCCAACAGTTGTTGATACATCTCATATTATTAAGGCAAATACAACATCCTTTATGGTGAAATACTTGTGTGCTAATCAGCTGTGTTTGTGATGCAGAATGCCAACTTCACATCATCAACTCCCTCCCACTTGTCACAACAGCCTCAGACCAACAACACCAATGAAGAGGACAGACTTGTCAATGTGTTCAATGAATCTCACTTGCCTGCAGGTAAATCACATTGTTAAAAGAACTTGTCCATTACCAGCACTAATGCTTACACTTTTTAAGGTGATCTCAGGGACTCACCTGTTCACATGTGAAACAGGTGGTTATTGTTCTACTGGAGGTATTTTGCAGCCATTGCCAACATTAGCCTACTCACCATAAATTTTATCCCACTATTAACATAAGTAGGGGAGAGTGGGGTACATTTGAACACTTTTTAAACGTTATTTTTTTAATAGGTGAATTTATGTGTTTTAAATAAAAACATTATTACATTTAGTTGTAACATAATGTTAGCTTTAATTTAGTTATTTTTTAAACCCTCCAAGTTAACATGTTAGTGTGCAATATCTGTTTTCACAAAGGTATGCAAATCGTTCAAAAGTACCCCACTTTTGAACAAGAAGTGGGGTACAATTGAACACACTAATTAAGTAAAATGAAAATTTTTATTTTACAGAAATTGTTATGCATGCGAGTTGATAAAAGCAGTTCTTATTTCTATTGGAACTAATTCTTCATTTAATGTTTTAGATTCACATTATTTGTAGCTAGATATTGCAAAGTTAATAGCAAAATTATATTCGTTCGCTGCAAGTGCAGTTCTCACACTCATTGTTGGTTGAGGAAGCTTATAGTCTTAAATTATTATTATTCATTACTGTCTTGTATAGGAAATAAATATAATCAGTTGGGGGTACATTTGAACGACATGCTTACCAGGGGAAAACATGTTGTTCAAACGTACCCCTCAGACTCCTGTTCAAATCTACCCCACTAAGCACCATCTTACAAAAAGCTAAATTATGTTTTCTTGAATTGTAATTTATCAATGTGAAATGCATAATCGTATCTAAATATGTATAAGCCATAAGGTAAATGGATCAAATTTATCTGTGATGTAGTTTTTCTGTGGAAAATTTACAAATCCCTACTGCTAAAAAAGTTTTCTTGTGGCGCTCTAAAACTTCTTTTCCCAACAACAAACTAAGAACTGATCAGAAATGGAGGGAGATGAATGCAACCTGTTGTCCTACTTGAAGGCTACATTTTACAGCTGGTCTAATGGCCTGCGAGTATAAAAATGACGGCAAATTTAAACCGTTTAAATGTGCCCCATGTTCAAATGTGCCCCACTCTCCCCTAATGAAGAAAATACAAACTGGAGTATTCTAATTGTGGTTACGATGTTGGTTTATAATAGTGTTGCTAATTTGAGTGTATTTACAGTAGAATCTCATTAATCTGGCCCGTTTGGGACCTAAGCTGTGCACTGAACGTCTTCTAAAAATAGGCTTTATTGATAGGCTAGCAAAAATACCACTAATTTTAGAGTGTTACATGGAAATTGTCAGGTGGGCCATCATTTTATATTTTATTGTGCTCTCTGTCATTTTAGTAGTGGGGCCATTTTGAAATTAAGTGGAATTTGTTGTCCCTCGATGTTTTCTACCTAAAATACTAAAATATAAACTAGATATTTTTTTAATGAAGCAAGAGGGAATTTAAGAGATGCCAATGTTATTTTATTAAAATAATATTACGTTTAAGAGATAAAATCTGTAAAGCAAAGGACCGAAATGTAACCACCATGGAATGTCCCCAGTCCTCACCCGTGTTTTCTACAACACTGACAAGTGATTTATGAAAAAAATCATTGAATTATAAAACAAATTCTCAATATCAGTAAAAAAAGATATAACCTAGACTTAAGACCAGCTTAACAATTTTTACAAAAATATCTACAGTAATTAGCTTAACTTAAAGACAAGTTGTCCACGGGGTTGGACGTAACCTTCATGGACCATACATAAAAGTTCTAAAAATTCTCACTGGAGAGCAGCACTGTCCATTGGTGGAGTTTTGATGAAGAAGGTGGCAGCCAGATTGAGGTTTCTGTTAATTGTTTTCTGCTCATCCGTCCTACTTACTGTTAATAAACAGGGTTGTCTTTCTCACAAGGCGAGTACATACCTGTAATCTCCATGTGTGCAACAAATAATGCATGTCATAAGCTAAAATTTTAACCTTAACTTTTTATTTGACAGACACCTCTTATCTTTCAGAAAACATAAGCTCTGGATATGAATCTATAGGTTAGGATTTACAAGTGACTGAACAGAAAAATGTAACATCCATGGAGGTAACTGTCATGGATAATTACTATGGTCTTCACTTCAAAGTAAACTAAAAAAATATAATATTAGAAATAAATATTCTTTTATAAAGAATCTTGGGCAGAAATTCCATTTAATTTTAGAATGGTCCAGTGCTATAAAATAATTAAAATGAAATGAAAAATTCAAATAACCTGTCACCTAATTCCATTGGGTGCAACGACGTCTGCCGATCATGTCCTATGACAGCCCGTCGCTTCCGATGGTTTCCGATTGTGTCCGACAATTGCCGATTGCTACCAACTCTGTTCTACTTGCTTAAAAAAAAAACTTATTGTGACAAAGCAGCATTTAAAATTATTTTTCTTACAGATATGACCCAGTATCAAGATGTTGTTAAAATGAATGATTATCTAGCCAATGGTGGAAGACGGCCACAGTTTTGGGATGAAATTTTTACCAAACGAGTGATGGAAGGAATAAAAAACAAAGAATTAGAAATGAAAGTAGCTGCAGAAATCCTAGGTGTGTCATATGGGACTTTGTATGGCAGATATCGTGATGCTTATGGTTGCCTTAAACATCCTTACAGGTAAATAACCAAATATTATTTTATTTTAACAATTTAAAAATGACCATTTTATTTAACTATTTATCAAGAAATTTACAAAATCCATGATAAAATTGTGTTTGTGCATGGTATGAACATTTATTTATCAATTTATTTATTTATACTCAATATAATTCTGTCTGTTTTTCATTTACAATTTTCTTCCATACAGGATTGATTAAAATTAAACTTGGATTGTTGGATTATAAATTTAGTTGTGTGTTGGTTTACTCCTTGCATCAACATCATCTTCCGCAATCTCAGAAATGTTATTATTCTTCCCCTGTGATTGCGGTAAAAGCGTGAATTCTTTGCAATCATAATTTTCATTGCATAATAATATAAGTTGTACGATCTATTTACACGATAATGTTGTACAGCAAAATTACTGAGCAACAACCAATAAATTGAAACCGACATTTTTCAAGAACTCTCGGTTCTGTTTTTTGGCTAAACACTAGACGTGTGGGAGTAGTAGATTTATTAAGTCAAAACCATAAGGATAGACAGAATATTGTAAAATAGGTTTATTGGAGTTCAATGTGAAAGTAAAAGGACATGAATCTGAAAATAATTTTTGTAAACATATTTATTTTCTAAGCATATTCAAATTTTTGTTTATTATTACCAAAAAATAGGTCAAGTCTTTTGAAGTTTGAATCGTTTCTGGAAACAAGGAATTTTGTATCCACTTATTTACTTTAAGTTGTGGCAGAGTGCGGGACTTCTGGTTGGAACAAGGCCCAGCCGAAGTTCTCTCCAAGCTGCAGCGGAAGGAGTTGACTCTGTTCCGGGCAGCAGAGATGCTGAATGTCACAGTCACCACTCTGGCCAACTACTTGAGCACCCTTAGGCAGGGAGACGGGATTTCGTCTGAGGGGGAGGAAGAGGAGGAGACTACAGAGAGTGAACGACTGGCATCAGCAAGACAAGCCCTCAGCAACAACCCTGACATCACCATCGTTAAACGTGAGTCTGCCCCCACGCCCAGCCTCAACGGTAACAAATGAACACCCACGGTCATTCCAGCATAGGGATTATCAACATACTAGCCTTTATTGATTTGTAGTGGTTCATATTTGGATTATCTCTAACAGATTTACGTCTGGTTTAGTAACAACCTGCCTACATTGGAAATACAATCATTCTGCATGTAGTATTGATAAAAAGAGGGAAACAATTCAAAACAAGTATTCTTGAAGGGTTATTCTTCGATACATACTAACATGTTCTATAAAAAATATATATATATTTTTGTTTTTGTAATATTTTGAAAAAAGTATTCAGTTTACTCTATTATTGATTGTTGAACTTGTTCATCCAAATACTTAGCTCTACAAATCATTAAGCTGTGTAGGTATCCTCGTTGTCAATCTATATATTGCTGGAATGATTCTCATCTGTTTGGCGTGTTGTCGCATTGACCAGTTCCTCTGTATTTTATAATGAAAGCCTTGTGACCGCACTGCTGAGATGAGACTAGCAGAGTAGGTTAGTCGCTTGGCAAGTAAGGAACAGAGTATTTAGCAGTAGGTAGACTATTTTATTTTGAAAGACTGAACAAACGCGTGAGGTTTGTATGATACTGTTCTGTCAATATTGTCCATTTATGACAAGTGATGATGAATGTAATCCCAACCAAAGTGGAGTGTCTTTTGTTTGTTATTGTTAAAAGTGTTACTCGATGATACAATGGAACTTGTTGCATTTACTGCAGAGAATCGACATAGTAAATTATTTTATTTATATAAAGTTATTTAGTTTAAATTATTTTATTAGAAATGTTATTCGTGAAATGAAAACACACTGTCATTTTCTTAGGTTTTCTTTAAAAGAAACAGAGATGGCTTAGAAATACCTTACATTTTCTTCAAATTATATTATTTATTATATTAATTTATTATTTAGTGAGATGTTTTCATAAATTATTGTAAATATATTTATGTGTAGCCTATTATTATTTACATCAAACTAAATGATCTGTTTTGTTATACCAAATAACAATAGGTATATCCAAAGGATAAATGAATACCTATTGTGCATTTTTATTTAGTTGATTTATCACTGAAAGTCACATATTTTATCCCAGCACTATAATGGCACTGATATTTTATTTAAGTGTGGGTTTATTTATAAAAAATATTATGAAAAGTATTTTTTAATGTTATAAACTAAATAGGCATTAGAAATAAGTTATATTTTATTTATTTTAGCACTGTTTTACATACTACTTTTTATTAGTATATATTTTAACGATGTTGATCTCTATAAACCAATGTCAAATCAAGTAAACTAATTATTAATTATGGTATTATAGTTTTAAAATTATCTTAAATAAATGTACATTTTATTTGTGAAATATATTTGATTACTATTTTATTCCATTATAAATGAAGCTTGAAAAACAATGTCGCATTACAGTTGTTATGATATTGCTAATGCACATCACATATGTTTGGTACGATGTTTGCAATTTTATTTTAAAGGTACATGGGGTTTTCTAGTTGATTGCTCTATAAAATTTAGATAACTTACTCTAGGGTCTTGTAAAAGCATTTTAGATTTTTTTTTTCATTTAGGCCTCACATTAAGTATGTGCCCTTGAGAATGTTACCCAACAATCACATTAGACCAATAGATAGAGTATGTGAAATATGACATGATGCAATGTTATCAATTTCTCATGTCTGCAACAAGATGGCGTACTAATAAAATATTAATTTATATCAATGTGTGACAATATGCCTTGGCATTATGAATATTATAAATGATTTGGACAATTACCTTTAAATCAAACTTTTTTAAGGTTTACCTAGCGTTTGCTGTTTTTAAGAAAAAGTTAATTTACATAATTAACAAAAAAAACTTTTTGGGTGGATACAAATTAATTCATAATGTAGGTATCTATGTTGAATTCAAATTGATGAAGTCGATGTTTGGTTTACATTGTGCAAATTTTAAAAGTCATAAGATGGGTTTTTTGGCTCTCTTAACGCTCTTATACATTCTGACTTCCGACTATCATATTAATTTTTATAGACAAACTAAAAATATTTACTTCATAGGAATACATAGAATCAAACTAAGAACATTTTAAAGTACTCAATGTTTTTCCAAGTAGTGTAGTTACTTTTCTGTATAGCTCAACTCGAGTGACTACACTTGTTATTATGTAAGCACAACGCGTTGCGGTACAGCGGGAAACCTTTTCTACATCAGCTAAAAATGTAAAAAAAATTTATTAGGACATCCTAAAAAATCTACCATTTTTAAACTTATCTGACCAAATAGTTTTTAAAAGTAAAAAGTAGTACCTAGGCCTAGGAACAAACTTTTTTAAATCGTATTTCAAAAGTCATATGAAAGTGCCAACATTATTTGAAATAGTAAACATATTAGTTTTTAAGCTTAATAAGCTTTTAATTATAGAACTAAAATAGTGTCCAAGACTGGTTGACTTCACTCGTACAAAGTTTCAACAATTTACCTCCACTCTTAAGTAGACTAGATCCTAGTTGTCGAGTTATTTGGAAGCGGTCACTGACTTTTTGCGCCATTATCAACAACATTTAGAGCGCTTGTCCATCCTACCACAAGATCCAACTGTGCTTCTGTTAGAATTTTATTAGTTTATTTCTGTTTATTTTTTATTAGTTGTGTTCATCCATTGGTCTTGTGTGATTGTTGAAGTTACCTAAGTCATTTACTATGTAGCGTTTTGAGAAATTGGAATAGCTCGTGGTAAAACTACGTTTAACAAGAGGCAATATTATTCTTGTAAGCATTTAATATATATATTTAATATATTTCACACTCACACCATTATTTCAGAAACACATATTATTGTTGTGATCACACAAATCACATTTTTCAAGTGGCAAATAACACAAAACTTGAGATGAAAACAGGCTATAGTGTACCTGTAATATACATTTTTTCAGCCAAATACCACTCACTCTTCACTAAATCTTATACTATTCTTGAACTATACATTATAGTTCCACATAAACCCTATGTGCAATGCAAAGTATTAAAAAAAATAAGCTGATTTAATAGGTAATAGTGAAAAAATAACAAATTGTACTGCATAACTAAAGAAAAATAATCAAGATGCAGCAAACCTGCAGTCTAAGCGAATTTCAAATTGTCCGATTGGATTTTAAGAAAAACATTTCCATAAACAAGTCATATTAATTCTCCATTTAGGTCTAAATAACATTAGATTTAAAGAGTACTTAACTCATTCAAGTCCATCCAGCTCTACACCAAAAGAGTTGTTGGCCAACACTTTTTTACAGTGGTGTGGTCATAAATTTTCCAGTGTGGGAACTGGGATCACTCACCAAGATGCTGGAAAATACGGCTTGCTTACCAATCTCTACAGGTTCTTTTGAAAAAGCAGAGTGGAAACGCCGTTTTTATACATCCTTTTTCAGACTTGCTGAAATTAATACTTTCTTAAATGAGCGTACAGTACTAAAAACAATACCGGTAATTAAATAACACACTACATTGTAAAGAAAAAAAAACACTTCTTACATAAGCCCCTGAAAATTTAAGAGTTTAAATGCCAATTAATTAAAAATGTTTAATGTGTGTTACAATTACCTGTAGTTTTTCCACCATTTTCATTTTTTATACCACTTAGTGCCATGTCACCAATACTGAAAGGGGTTTTGTACATTTTTCGCAAAATTTGGAATTCTGTACAGTATTATCAGGACAGAACCTTGGTTGAACTGCTATTGATTGTATCAGCTTTAACTTGACACTTGTCCACTGCTAGTTTAAGATGGTCACTGGCCAAAGGTATGACTCCACCTTCACTCTGTGTTAGCTATCAGTATTTCATTGTCTTACCATTTTTGTGCAATCTTATTGATTATGTAGATAATGTTTAGAAATATTATGTAGTCGATATATTAAATTCCAGCACTGTCCTCCTTTTAACAGACATTGACAATCAGTCCTGTATACTTTCCATTCACACAGGATTACGATGTATATGTATATTTATATATTTTCTCAATGTGCATTGTCTTACTCTGAGTTTGAAATATGGCGATGATATCAGTAAGTAATATGCAAATAATGTATTTTGGTTTAGGTCGCAGTATCCACTTAATAATTTTGCAATATCCAGTTATAGAGGTTTCAGGTTACATTTTTACTGTACATAATTTGCTTTGTGGTGATAACTTATGTATTTGGGTGTCTGGTAGAATGCAACTTATGTTTTAATATGTACACTTGCTTCAGGGTCATAACCCAACTTTCATAATAATAAATTTTGACAATAAAGTTGGCTGCAAGCATAGTGATGCATGGCAAGTCCTAAATTATAAGTTATTTTACTCTCTAATTCACTGTATTATGATGCCAACACACCATTTTGTCCAGTGAAAAAGTCAGAGTGCTGATCAATCGCTATATATTTTTAATAACGGCAAACTATCTAATTCCAATTGTTTATTTATTTAATAAGGTACAGTAACTTAACTTTAAAAAGCTATTCCAGATCACTAGAGGTTTTTTGAAGACACTTTTTCACGCTACATAGTTTCATCTGAAATGTGCATTTCATGAATTAGCAGTTATTTTTATATAATGTAGTGTAAACATGACTGATACATGTACTTTACATTATCATCAGTCGTCAGGTGTATCTTAAATATTTTATATTATATTCACTCGCAAGATATAATCTTTTTATTTCCATTTTTTGTAAATTGGTGTTGTGGTTCAGTGTTAGACTAGAAGTGAACATGTTTTTGCACCAGCATTTGTTAAAACTAAAATTGACAATCGTTTTTCGAATATTCCTGTAATGCTTTGCAACTTTAAAAATAGACAATGCATTGAGCATTTATTTGACATGTTGGTCATATAAAATGTATACTTCAATACATAATTGTTTGATTTTATCATATTGGTACTCTTAGAACAAGTAAGAATTAAGTTCCTGTATAGTAAGAGACCACAGTTGTATTGTTTAAAATCATGAATTCACCATTATATATGTTCACAAATCATGCAAAATGTCTGCACTGTTATAATAAAGGCAGCATTAGGATGGAATGTAAACAAAAAACAACTAGCAAAAATTATATTTGAAAATATTTTTTCACTGTACTGCATTCACTTATGCGACTGGAAACAGGGCAAAAGATTATACTATGTACTATAACTATAATGCAAGTGAAAAGCTGTATAAGCGTAAATGTATTCTCATATGCCAACAACCTTTGTATAATGGTTATGATTAATTACTGTGGAACCATTTTTTCTGTATTTTGCATCAAAACTCGTGTTCTTGATAACACAATGTAGTGTAAGGCTATAAGTTCCTTTAGATAGTTTTGCCTTATTCAGATTTGCCTTTTGGGTATTACATTTTTTGTGCAACAATTCGGTATTGATTTTATGTTGCTTTTAAAAATTTCTGGTCATTTTTGTGTAATGGCTCTAGTCAGGTATGTCACATATGTTTAAAAGAAAAGCTACTATCATTTTTGTAATACTTATTGATTCCTATTTAAAAAAAACTATTTTAGTTTACTTTTGTACGATAGACAGCTAAAGGTTTGAGAAATCTATTGGATACTGCCACTTAGTTATTAATAAGTTTAAGAATTTACCTATTGCAGATAACATACTGTATTTAGAACAAATTACACCTGTTTGAAATTTAATAAGTAATTACCATCAAAATTGAAGTTGTCATTTTAAACTGATGTCAGTGGTTAAATGATAATTTAGAACATAAAAAAGTAAGTTAGTATTAAAAATTAAAAACTTAGGTAGCCTAATTCTATAATTTAAAAAAAATAAGGCCTCCAAAGCTGTTTATTTAATGATGACCTGGTTTTAAAACATGGTCAAATATATTCATCATATTTTTTAAATTCATTGTAGTAGCCAATCTGTAACTGTAGGTTTTACATTCCCTTTTACAAAAAAACAGTGTTTTTTTGTGGGTACCGTAATGTAAAACCAACTAATAATTCTTTTTTTATCCTATGTTTTGTATCATCTGAATTTTTTAACTGCTGGGCTTTAATAGTATAAATCTTAACTATTGGATACTGAAATAGACATCCCATCTATTTGGATCAGCTGACGCCATTAAAAAAAAAAAAAACGTAGTTGTGTGAGCCAGTCACAGAAAGCGTTATTGTCTAAAATTCTATATTTTGTTGCTGACCAGGTTGATGGGTCATAAGAGTGGCTATAGCTCACCACAAGTCAATTCCTATGTTTGACTTTGTAAAAAAGTTTGTGTATTCAACAGAATTTAGTGATTTAGATCAGCGCAATCTGTCAGTGGCTCACATCAACTACGACGATTTTGAAAAAAATCTGTCTACAAATTTAACATGGGGATGGAATGTCTAGTTGTATTAATAGTCAAAGGTATAAGCTTGGATATTGATGTTTGAGTGTCTCCAAAACATTATACAAACATGTTACATACATTTTATAAGCAGTCGTGTGGTCGTTAATTTTCCAGTTTGGATGAATTTTCAATGAATTTACTTCACCAGATCACATTAAAAACACAATTTCTTGACACCAACAAATTAAATATTCTATTCAAAATATATCAATATTTAGACAAAGCATTGGAACTGTTAAGAAGTGTTAAAATGTATATTAGTATGATTGTACATCGCCAGAGACCACAGTTAAAAATATAATTTTGTAGTTTAAAATCCCTTATGTTAATCTGCATCCCTTTTAATCACTTTCTTGTGTTCTAATGCTGAACTGGGAAAATACACGAATGGTAAATATTATTTTGATAGGCAAAGATTTCATACCTGACTAAAGAAAAAAAAACATATTTTAAAGATACCTTGTACATTTTTCCTTCATCGAATCACATATTCAGTGTAGAGATGTGTAAATACAGTAGTAATTCATGATATGCTTGCAACTCAAAGCTTGCGGAGTAATGTTATTTCACTCATTTCACCTCTAAAGACTAAGATTATACCAAATAAATTTGACTATGTACTAATAAAATTATAGTATTTATAGGTTTAGCTTACATATCATACTGTATGAGGAATATGGCTTATGTACTAGACCAATCATGTATTCTATATAGAATAGAAAGGGGATATTTTTTAAAGTGCTGAATAAAATGTTAATCTGGTAAATTTTGTCAATATTTTTTATCCTAAATGAGAATTAATTGTAGTATAGTTGACTCCGTGAAGTCCCTCATAGTTTGTGTGGCTGCTGCTTAGTCCAACAGATCTCAAAAAGATCTACGGTACAATGTTAAAACAAATACTGTCAATTCTCCGTAACAATAAGTGCAATAAGTGCTGTGTAACAATAAATGTGCTGCTGAAGCATGTAACTTATAAGGATTCAGGAATAAATACACATTACAACTGATGTGTCTAGGAACAGTCGCCATTGATAACATTGACTCACCAAGTTCAACACCAGGGCAATAAAATTTAACTGTTATTGTAAATAAATTTATTGAAGTAGATTTTCTCCCAAGCAGTTTATTTAAAATGCTTCTGCAAGTTTTCCATTATAGCATGGCGTTGGAACCAAACTTCTCTTTCACAAAACTTTGAAAATATAGTTGGACATTCGTAAATTACATCTTCTGTACACAACGTGGACTCAGCTTTTGGTTCAAAAGTGAACGATGAAACGGAATTCACTGAAAACAGACAAGTAGGTATTGTAATTAATTGAGTTTTAAAATTGCAATGCTTATCTGATATGTCCTATAATATTTAGTAGCTTTTTTGAATCAGATACTGGACCATCTTTCCAAGATCACACTCAATTACAGTAAAAAAATGTAAATTCAATATAATAATTTGGTTAAACTGGCTTGTTTAAAATCACTGAAATGTTTACGTTACAAGTTGTTAACAAAAATACTGATCATGAATATTACATATTTCTACAATCTTGCTAAATTTAGTTTTTTTATTGTTTAAAGGATTTGCATTTTCAGCAAATGCGTAATTTTTACTTTCTCTATACATATGGAGAAAGTGTTGTCTAGATCAACATTTTCGAGTTTGATTTTTGGGTGGATGTATTTATTAAGAGACACCCTATTTATTTTATTTTTATTTTTATGATGGCTTAACTTTTTTTAATATAAAATTCCCTAACAACGGAATTATACTGAACCCAAAAAAGTGGTTTTGAAGTGATGTCTGTGTGTGTGTCTGTCTGTCTCTATGTGTTCAAAGTTAACCAGACGACACCTGTGGTCCGATTTTGATAAAATTTGGTATGTAGGAACTAATCCCATGGTATATCAAGGGGTTTTTTCATTTTTATTTTTAATGGTAATTCTCCCACAAAAAAAAATGAAACAAAAAGATAGAATTTTATCAAGATTGGCCTGAACGATTGTTATTAACATTTAGTATGTTATAGCCTACTCCTTTTGACCTCCATTGGTGTGCAAATTTATAGATCAAAAGTTATTGGAAATTTTGTGATTTTTTCTCTCCATAAAATAACGGAAAATCAGATTTATTTTGATAAAAATTTAAAATTTCCTTATGATTCTAAACAAAATGGTTCAACCTCCGTTGCTGTAAAAATTACGGTTCAAAAGTTATTGCAACTTTTGTGGTTTTCCCCATCAAATATCATAGTTACTCCCAACGCTAGCCCATGATAAAGGTTGTTGACAAGCTTATGGGAGAAAGTATAAGTCAGATTGTTGTTACTGTATTTTAACTAATATATTGTATATCTAGTTCTATTGAAATATATATTGTATATCTATTTCTATTGAAATATACATATTTTTTGTATTGAAATATATATATTGTATGTATATTTCTGATTATCAAAAGAAAGTGCCTTGCGGAGCGGCCGTGCAATGACCAAGTTTAAGTATACAAACATTCTACTGTATTTCACAAACTGTAGAGACGTAAAAAATAATGTCACAAATTTCAAATAAATGCTGTTTAGTCAGTTAAGCACGTTTTCAGCACATGCTTGAATATGTTTTATCTTATTCTGATGAACTAATATTTGTAGTTATATTAATTTGTAAAAACACAAATTGCAAAATTTTTTATTCCAATTTGCGTTTTTAATACTTTACTTTGAAGTCCACCATACGAAAGTAGGTAAACTTAATAACTTACCGACAGGTAAACTTTATAACTTTTTAATGCTATTGAATATCATAAAACTAACTTGGTTAGTAAGAACAGCTGACAAAATTCTTAAATTTACGAGGGACGTTCGGAAAGTTAAGTTTCGATTCCTCTACTATATGGGTTAGTGCTGTGATCGCAGTTTAGCGCATGCGCAGTAGTTACTTTGTGTTAACAGGAAGGAAATGACGCCATTTTGGACTCTCTATTGTTGTCGTACACTTCGTAGCGCTTGTTCGTAATGGCTGCATTAATTGAGAAACCCACCGATCGTGGAATTCAATCGGTGATTCGTATTCTTAATGCAAAAAAACGTTAAAGCAACTTACATTCACAGACAAATCTGTGATATTTGTGGGGACAATGTAATGAGTGATTCAATGGTGAGATTATGGGTTCAACATTTCAAAGAAGGGCAAGATACAGTGCATGATGAGGAACAAAGTGGACGTCCATCCGTGGTAAACGATGAACTGATTAGTGCAGTCATTGAGAAGATTAAAGAAACCCGTAAGTTTACCATAAGTGCTCTTGCACGTGAATTTCCACAAGTTTCAGTAACAGTAATTTATGAGATTGTTACTGAATAACTTGACTTTCGTAAAATTGTACTCACAGACGAGGTTGGGTGGTTAACTACACAGGCGGCAAAATTCTACAAGGAGGGTATATTTCAACTTGTACCCACGCTATGACAAAAAAATGCCTTGAAAATCGCGGGAAGTATGTTGCAAAATAGTGAAAGAGCTGTAGATTTTTAAAATAAATTTATTTCCTGTATCTCTACTAGTTATTCTTTTATTTCAAAACGGAACTTACTTTCCGAACTTACCTCGTATTTTAAATATGAATACTCATAAGGTTAACATGGAAAACTACAGAGCCACTGGGGTGGAGCCCAAAAGGATTTTTGAAATAAAAATATATATGTCTATATGTTAATCCGGAATGTGTGGTACCATCATGCCAAATTTCAGCTCAATCCGACCTGTAGTTTATGCGTGATTGAACTTTTCAAACAAACACAAACTTTCACATTAATTTATAATATTAGTATGTTATGATTCATTGTCTTAATAAATACCACTAATTTTCAGTTGATAACTCACCACAGGCCAGTGACGAGTAGAAACACGTTGTGTGAGTTGACTGGATGATGTAGGTGCCCTCAGAGAGAGGTTTCACTTGGTAATTCGCCTCTGCATAATTTGACATGAAAGGCAAATTTGATAGGAACTCTGTGTAGTGGACTGTGTACTTCCAATGGTCATAGTTTCCACTTTCCTCTTCAATCGTAAAATCTAAACTGAAGAAAAACAGATGCAATATAATAAAAAATCCATTTGAACAATGATAAGAGATCTACAAAATCATAGGTCAAAACCGCAAGACAGGTAATAGCCTAATTCAAGAAAGTAATTTTTGTAGGAAACAATAGGTAAAAATTCCTAACTCCTAAGCAACAAATCCTAAAGGAATTAATACTTATTTCTATATGGGGAGCTTCTAATGATAGGGCTGGGCTATTGAGAGTTTTACTGTGACTTTAAAAGATGAAATTTTACTTTCATATATGATGAAAGTTTTTGGTTGATCACTTTGTGAGGAAGAGGAGGAACAATTATTAAACAATAGAAATAATAAGAATCAAAAAGATTTTGTTATTTCTACCATTGCAAGAAAATGCCGCAACCCATAGAATTTCAGTTTTTGCTAATAAACATTAACTAAAACTGACTTACATTGTTGGATTCAGTCTTTTCATGTTACTAAAGTCAGCAACATACTCCCATACTTCAATGGGCTTGGAATTTCTCACTAAAGCATCAAACTTGGCCCTGTATTGTTGTTTTCGAAGCATCAACCATAAGATAAAACCAACAATACACCCAAGTATAACATTCTTCTTGCTCCACACAGTCCTCATCTGCAAAGCATAACACTACATAGTTAATACTGTAATAATACAATAAACACTTATCAAACTGGACTAATTTTTGTTCCAAGTACCTATTCATGATTAATAAAAAGTTTGGGTAAAAAGAAAGCTATGGCTAATTAAGAACTGTTTGAGTACCCATTTATTATAAAATAGCCATTTAAGGAAAAAGCTTGTTTGTGTTCTAAATTTAAAAATAGGCCTACAAACATTTATTACAACATGTTTTAGATATTACTTAGGCTTAATAGTTGTACTCATTTTAGATCTAAAAAATCTAAAATTTGATTAAATAGCTACATAATATTAAATTTCTTACATAAGATAAATTATTTACATGAACAACATTTTGTAGATGGATAAAAATCATTAGATTACTGTTTACAAAATATAATATGTTTTAAAGTAGTAAAATAAAAAAAATATATAACATTTTAATATTTGAAATTATTTTACAACAAATAAGGAATATAAAAAACAAATCATACAATGCCATAAAATATAAAGAATATTTTAAGCTAGTTATGACACATTTACATAACATTCACAGAGAAATTACTAAGCACTATAAAAACAAAGTTTAACTGTATTAATAAAATTTCCTACTGAACTGGGCATATATAATTTATCTAATACTAGTTATTTCTTTTCATCTCGGTAACTTACTCTGTTTTGATGGAACAGCAGACTGAAATTGAAAAGTGGTTCCAACTTACAATAAAAACTGACAATAGAGGACTGATAAAAACACTTCCTTGCCGACTATCAGAGGTTGACCGTTGACCGCCCACACTCTCCTCTTGTGTGAATATGTGATGACCTTGACTGATGGCGTTCCTCCCTCCCTCACTCGCTGTGCACCATCTGTGCTGCTACAGGAATGAAGAATAAGAACAAGGACAAAGCGGCATGGAAACTGGACCGGACGACAACAAAGACCCAGTGATGCAACTACAAAGGATACGGAATGAAATTTCCCTGTGCTAGGTAAAGCACCAAGTGTATTTTTACATTTGATATAATAATTGATTAAAATACTCCGCACCATACGGTACTTAAAACATGAAGTTTGATGTTTGCATATGTTTGGATATCTTGAATGCAGCATAAGTTTCATTGTTTTTGGGAGTGACATATGGATTAATGAAGAACTTAATCCTTCATTCTAAATTCCTAGGATTTCAGTTAGTTAATTTCACAATAAATCTAAAAGGGTAAAATTCTGTGAGTCTTGGCAAAAATGAACATTTGTTTGAATGGGTTGTTTGGTAAGCGATGCGATACCTACCAATAGTTCGGCCGCTTAGAAAACGACCAGCGCGCTAATGCTAAACCAATGTTGGATGGAGGTCGCTTTCTGCCGGACGCACACAGATCAAGCATTTCACCTGAAGCAAGTGTTGCGAGGCAAAATGTTTCGCTGGGTACGAGCACCCCATGTATTTCAATGGGACGCCGCACACTGATCAAGCAAACGTTGCGAGGCGCCTCGAAACGCCTTGAAACATTTGAGCAGTTGCTCGACGAATGGATCCCATACAGCACGATGTTTGATGTTTCAAGGAGCAAAACGTTCTGCGCATGCGCCAAATCCTTTCTAGCTAGTAAAGCTTAGTGGCTTTCAAAATTCAATTGACCGTTTGTTGATTTAAAAATATCTCTCCTTTGAAAAATGAATTTAGAAGTTGCGTTAAAACTTAACAATTATATTTTGAATTAATATTGAACAATACTGTTGTTTAATTTTTCTTGCTACCATTTTGGTTGTCATGCAAAGTAGTAAAATAATTAAGAAATTACCAAGATTATTCAGTTCATTAATCATTACCTATTTATATAACCATCACGACACTATCTAATAACAATTTCTTACGGTATTTAAAACCCTTTCTATAAAATAGAATAGCATTTATTCGACAATGATTGTAAAATTTCCCTGGATCTGATTTAATTTCTGAGAGGAAAGCTGTCTATCAACAGATTGATTGGGTGAACCCAATGTTGTCTTTCTATTTACAGCAATAGTCGACTTCCTCGTCACATACGTTAAAACAATACTGTAGTATAAGACGAGTAGACATAATATGTAATTATAATATTTATTTTTCTTAAGTTTGCTTGAAACCAAATGCTGAATCATGCTTGAACCTCCCGCACACTGGAGAAGCAAATAAACAAAACGCTTCAAGCAAATCTTTGTGCAACATTTTATTTTGCTTCAGGTGAAATGCTGGATCAGTGTGCGCCCAGCCCGCGGCCGAACTAGGGCCTAACCACGTGAAGTATCAAAGCGTTTGAAGTGGCTACACTGTCAGTAGTGCTGTTACAGCTGATTTGTTTGGAGGAAGCTAATGCATATTTATTTGTGTATTTGTTTAAGAATACGAAAAAGAAGAATAAGAATACTACTTGGTAACTGGGCTAAAAGATTGATTCCATTTTTTACGTATAAATAGATTTTCCATTTATATTGTTTTGTTTTATTTTCAATCTTTAATAAATTTATGTTCATAAATTTTAATGATCGATACGCGATTAAATGAACGGATGTAACCTGTCTGCCACGTTAGCATACGGGACCTCTGGCGCCAAACAGCCAAATACTTGCGACGTTGCCAATAATTATTCTACCAGGCCGCGGTCTGGAGAGGTGGCCCAAGACCACTACCGACAGCCCATGGCCTACCGGGTTAAATATAAGGAAGGTTTACGAATTTAGAAAAAAACGGATACACAAATTTAGTCCGTTTCGTTTCTGTGTTTCTTTCGCCTATTAGTTGCCGAGGTCTTCAAAGTGCCACACGTAGTACCCTTATTCGCTGGTCTTTACCGGACTTATACTCCGTTCAGTCAGCCGTGGCACCTGAGGGATTAGGAGGCCCCAAGAGTTTCCATGGGGTGTCCTAATCCGTCAGGTGCCACGGCTGACTGAACGGAGTATAAAGAATAATTAAAATAGCTTAGCCGATAACCGATAGCTTGGCAAGATTTGAAAAATTCTCAGGAACATGTGTAACCAACTATGAAACCTACTGCAACCACAACTATCCCAAAAACGATTGTGTAAAATTCACTCCATCTGAGAACGGTTCGATCCATGGTTCAATCTACTTTTGAAATTGGTTTGTTTAAGAAACAATTCCGACCTTGAAAAACAATCCCGTGATGTAAGTATTAAAATATGAGAAAATTGACGTGTTCTCCAAGTTAATTATTTTTAAGTATTACGATTTGTTTAATGTCTGAACGGCAATCTGTACACCAATAGAGTTGTACATTTTATATACGAAAAGATAGATTAGGATGCTACTTAAGCTCCTATTAACACTAACCGTTGGTTCACGATTGTTGTTGTACTGTACAATACGTTTTGAACGGATCCATTGCGAAAAGTCCTCACGAACAAGATTTAAATTATTGTCTTCACCGTTACTGTACAACTTACGGAATACAAAGAATTGTATAAAGAGTTTGAATACCTATATACATCCGTATACAGGGTGATTGATATAAGTGTGCCAGCCGTTTTATTCGAAAACTATAAGATATATCAAACAAAGTTAAATGGAAAGTCCCTTGGATTTTTATTTAAAAATTGCAGTTGAGTCGAAAAAATTATTTTAGCCGCCATTTTTCCAATATGGCCGCTAACTTTGATTTTTCTTATGGAACACCCTGTATTTTATGATGTATTCCAGTAGAAAATGTAATTTTAAGACGATTTTATAATTGTGACTTTTTTCATAAACCTAACCATTTCAAAGATAATAATGGTTTAAGTTGTGAAATTTTGAATAGTTTTCGAATAAAACCGCTGGCATGCTTGCTTGGGCCTTTATCGAAACTCTTTCTCATGCCGAAATTTCAAAACTTTAACCATTATTATCTTTGAAACGGTTAGGTTTATGAAAAAAATTACAAGAATAAAATCGTCTTAAAATTACATTTTCTACCGGAATACCTAATAAAATACAGGGTGTTCTATAAGAAAAATCAAAGTTGGTGGCCACATTGGAAAAATGGCGGCTAAAATAATGTTTTCGACTTGACTACAATTTTTTAAACAAAAAATCCAAGGCACTTACCATTTAACTTTTTTTGATAACTCTTATAGTTTTCGAATAAAACGGCTGGCACACTTATATCAATCACCCTGTATATCTTAAAGTGGCCGGGATCACTTATAAACCTTCTTGATTACTTCCAATCAGAGATTATGTCATGTTTTCTTACCCTGAACGCCTGTTATATTTATATAGCCTTTAGTGGTCAAAGTTAAAATCAATACTTCCATATCCATAAATATTTGACTGAAATTGGCTGGTTATAAACTTTGACAAAATTCTTAAAAAAATACATAAACGAAGTTGGACTAGCTGAAAACTCAAAACAATGACTGTAAAAGGAACAGGCCATGAACAACATATATTTTACTCCATTGGAAAATTTTGTCAATATTAAAATTAATATTACTCATAAAAAATAAATAAATATGCAAATCCTTAAAACTATCATCTCTTATTGGAGAAGCAAACTTATAGGGTATAGGTAATGTAAATGATAAATCAAAAACCACGGATAATTTTAATTTATTTAAATATGGTAAACAAAAGAGCCAATCAGGTGTAGGGTAGTCCGGGGGTTATTCTCGTAGAATCGTGTTGTCCGTGTCCAAGTCGTGTCAGTGTACAGAAGCCGAGACGTGTCCGTGTTGTACTAGCCCTCCATAATCTGAAACATCACACGATGCAGTTAAATAAACAAGAAAATAACAAGACTTACAATCTATAAAGATACAATTTATCTAGATATACAAAGTAATATTGATATATTTTTTAAATTAAATATAATGTATAAAATTATTAAATGTATTAGTCCATACAATGTACAAATTTAAAACAAAATTAAAATACCATTTATCAATTTTGATATCATATATATGTATAACACCGTGTTTTTTTTTACCACAGATATAGCAGCATCCGCGCTATTAAACTACGAGTTTATTTTAATTCATAAAAATAAGTCCTTTTAACCTAAATGTGTTTATGTATAGTATGTTGGCTATGTAGTATTTAGTTTATTTCCATATAAAAGTATTTAGGGACACGAAGCAAGCCTAGAAAGCTAGATTTGCCGTTAAACATTCCAAAAAAGGCTATATTTTAAAACAACAGGATACCTTATAACTGTAAAAACCGTTAGTTCTCTTTAAGACAATAAAATAATGATCAGCAGAATATGCCTGGATAATACATGACTGTATTTAGACGTATAGATGAGAATCTGTTATTATAACATGTAGGCCTAGTTATAATGTTATGAAATTAAGTTAACAGCTTATCTCACGATATATCATGACTATCTTAGCCTTGACCTCATGACTACTGAAGTATTTTAAAAATGCACACGATTTTTCATAAGGAAAACAAATGAACTAAAGTGAAAAATAATATTTAAATAATTATGTAGCCTATGTAAAATGTCAATTGAAAAAAAAAATTGAAATTGTGGTAGTAAAATGTATAATTGGTTTTACTAGGTGCAGTGTAAATGAATGTATATGATCAGAAGTAATGTAAGATTCACGGTATGGGCATGTATAATCACGAGCCAATAAATATATTGAAAACCAATTGATATATTTATATCAGTTACCAATTAATACAAAGTTAACTCGTTTACCTGATGTGAGAGTCTAGTAGTAGCCGACGACGGTCATGTTGACGTTGGTCCTCTCCTTGCCCATGATAATAGTAGTCTGATGTTTCGTTGACGGAAATATCTGATACAGTGACAGTCAGCTGAGCCTTATATACACACACTGGCGTCTCCACTGACCAATCAGAGCGCTGCGTTATATGAGCTGATCAAATTGAACTTTGATAACTAATTGTGGGGATGTATCATATCTCGCAAATAATTTTAGGTAGTGTATGTTGTACAACTGTGTTGATGTATCAATAAAAATAATATGATACCCAATATTTATAATATGACTGTTTTACTAAGAACACAGACTTGATTATTTAAGAGCTAATAATGGAAAACATGTAGAAATAAGATAGTGTGAATGTGTCATCGTAAACTTAAGAAAATAAGAAGGTACTGCTAATAAAAACAGCTGATTATAAAACTTTTTGAGTTCCCCTAACAAATAATGAAAACTAGAGGTTTCTACCTCTAACACGGAATGAGTGAGACAAAGTTAAAATTGATCAGGTTTTTTATAAACACCCTGTATATATAAATAAATATATATAGGCCTATATATGAATTTGAATGGATGGTGTTTTTGGCCTCTAGGGACGTCAAAATGAAAAATTAAATCGGTCCCGGGTCCAGGTCTTACCATGACTACTACGGTAATAGCTACTAGGGAAATTCGCTAAAATCTACAGTTCACACTTCCGGCATTTGGATCAAAATCAATACTTAATCCAAAAAGTTAATACTTATTATACAATTCTTTGGCCGTGTTTTACAGTTTAAGTACGAGTTTATGTCACAACATGTTACCTGGCTCTAAAATCAACAAAATTAATTAAAATAATTAACTTAGAAACATTTTGTCACACATTGTCTGCTACAAGTTTTACCATTGACGTTTGATGTCACAAGCAGATTCTAATATTATAAATATGAATCATGTTTTGGCAGTTTTGTTTTCTTGTATGTTTTATTGACAAACATGTTTCCATTTTATTTCAAGTCATGCATACATTAATAAGGATATTTTCTGGTAATGGGAGCTTTAAAAATACAGGCAATTGCTTATATGTTAGCTCAACGGATTATATTAAAATTCGACAGCATTTTAGCATTTTTACAGCATTTTTATTTCGACAGCACTTAGTGATTGATCAATTAAGTTAAGGCTTGTACCTAAGATGTACATTGTTAAAGCGTACACCTTGCCCATAAGCAGCCATAACTTGATTTTTCCGAAAGGGTTACTCGGCTTGAGAACCCATCCCTGAATCAAGCGGTATGGTTATACTAATTTTAAACTGTTATTTAATTTTTAACTGTGACTTTTAATTTATATAAAATAAAATTGCATAATTGCACTGCAAATTTAGCCTTTTAATCGAACAACTTACTTAAATTTAAACCGGGTTGAATTTGATTCGCTGGCTATGTAAACATACAAAATGAGCTTTTAAGAGCAATTAAGTGTCAGTTAGTACATCGTAATGACAATTTGAAATTTTGTAAAAAATTTTCTTCAGTTGCAAACCAGTACCGTAACGAAGAATTTCCGAATGACTACAGTATGTACATTCTTTCTTTATGATTCTTTAGCAACTCTGATGATACTATTGATGACAATGCTGTTGATACTCTGGAACACTCTTTGCATGGCAGTGGAATATTTGATTGAACACAATATATCACATTAAACTAAATAAAAAGGCGTTAGCAAATCAGTATCACGTTAGATAGTATGACATAGCTATAGTATAAAGTATTGATTATTCGTAAACAGTGTTATGGAAATCCGTATTTTTAGTTTTTGGTTGTTAAATTACTCATATTTGTAAACATTTTACGCTCTATACTCAATGGTTTTTAAATATATATAATTCTGAAAACTGTTTTTTAATAAATATACGATACTTTAGGTAAAATATCTAAAACAATACTGAAACATTGTATATCATATGCTACGTTATTTCTAAGTGACAAGAATTTTAAAAAGTATACAGCATATACAAAGCTACAGATTTCAAAATCTCAAGATCAAAATCTGCTGTGGTTTCCAAGTATTTAGTTTGGCACACGCCAGTAGGGCGAAGGTTAAAGATATCAGCTGATGCATACGCAGCGCTCTGATTGGTCAGTGGAAACGCCAGCGTGGGTATATAAGGCGGACGCGTTGCAGAAAGTCAACAGTCCCGGAAGGTCAAATAATTTATACCTGTGCCGCTAGGTCAAAAACTACAATGTTTGCAGTGTCTTTAGATCAAAAATCCCAGAAAGTCAAATAGTACAGTCCGGGCTAAAAGCTTAGTCTATGTTAAAGCAATTGACTTATTGGGAATTTGACCTAATGCAACAGCAGTTTTAATATAACGAAATAAGATAAAATATAAGTTCAGTTTCGCTGAGTCAACAGTGCCGGAAGGTCAAAAGTATAATCTGTTAAAAACAACGATAGTCCTCTCGACGCATGACTTCAATAATTTCGTGTTTTGGTGTACTTAAAGTTGTGCTAAAATTTTGAAATTTGGCACAGAGCTTCTTGGTTAGTCCTACTCGATGACTATTTTGTTGGAACTTTAAACTATTTACCGATCTAATTAATAAAAAATGATTTGTATGGTGAAATAGTTTTAAATCGTGATTTCTAACATGAAAAAGTTAGCATGCGAGATTTTTTTTGTTTTTGGGTTAGAGAGGTTTTGTCTGTGGCAAAGTTGTAGCCAAAAGTGTGATGCGTAAAATATATTTTTTTGAATTTTTTACAATCAGTGGTTCAGTAGATAACTTGGGTTGAAGAAGACGGCAAATTTAGCATTTCGCAACGCATGGAAAGAACTACATCGTACGATGCGACTGCTTAGTGGACTTTTAATTTACAGTTCTAAGGACAAGAAAAAGATGAATATACAGATTACCAGTACATTCATATTATTTATAAAACATCTTTCTGTATTACCAGCTTACATTTTTCACTTATATTAATAAGAATACATCATAAACAGGGTGTTAAAAATAAGCGGAGAGATACTTAACCTAGTAATTCCTTGGGTCAAAATAAACAGAAAATGAAGGATAACATTTTCCAAAATCGTTTCGTTAACCAGATATCCGCCATTTTGTATTTTTTACATACAAATATTTAGCCTATCTTTACACGTTTCCAACCGATGTTTATGAAACTTGGTATGTATGTTAAGGTGAGAGACCCATGTTATAAAAAAAGATTCATCTCAAACGATTCACCCTAAAATTTCAAAATTTAACACTTAACTACAATATAATATAGTTTACTACACCACAATATTTACGTATCACCATAAATCTTTAATAAAATAAGACGTTCACATTTTTAAAATCCAAAGTAAATCAATATAATCTTTCTTTTTAGAAAAATATAGTACAAAAAATAAGGCGATGTTAAAATAACGACAGGCGAGTTTCGATCTGGTGTTTCAAGTTTGAACCTAGGAGGATTTAACACTAATTAACATTAATGTTTAATCCTCCTAAGTTTGAACTAATTGAGTGGAATATATGAAACCGAAGGGGGGAGATAGCAACAAGTGCACTAGTAATTACTAGTGTCAAATTAAAATTTGATGGATTTAACCAAAACCTTTTCTATTTCACTTATTTTCAGCTGTTAAATTTCAAACGATACGTTTTAGCTAGATCATTAACATTATTATCATCATCATCGTTTGAGTTTGGGTTTGCGGCAATCCTTATATATTAAAACGAAACAGGGTTTTTTTATTTCACGATTCTGAATCAACCACTTGACGGATTTTTATGATTTTTGTGTTGAAAGGAAGATCATTTTGAGAACTAGGGAATGTCGAAGCCATAATTTTAGTTTAGGGTTTCAGTTTTTTAGAAATTAAGTTTTAATTTTCAAAAAGTCTAGCAGCCGACGGACGAGTTAAAGTCGTTTAATTTAGTGGTGGTTTAACTAACAGCTGGTTTCTAACTGTCATTGAAATGCTTATGTTACAAGTTGTTTGTATACAAAAATATTGATCGTCAGAGTTTGCCTACACACTATTTTACTTTAAAATGCAGTTTATTTTCTACCGTAAAAGATCTATGTTATCAGGAGATTGTGTAATTTTGAACTAAACATTTTAAACGTATAATCAAGTTTTGTCATAAATAATGCAATCCGTCTAAGTATAAGTGCTTAATCCTTTAGGATATAAGTGGTTTACGTGTTGATACATTTTTTTCTAGATGTTTGTATATAAGTATGACTGCATACAGTACACATTTTATTCGTAATGAAAATATCAACCGTTGTAGTAGGTCTCCAGAAAACCGACCAGTAAGCTGCAGGGTGTCAGTAGAAACCAAAATCGATTCATACCATATCATAACTATCCCAGTAGTACTGTATGATTCTGAAACTTGATAAAGGGGTACATTCCAAAAGTAGACCAAAAGGCTCGGTCTCGGATGGGCTGGGCAGGCTTTGCGTGGCGGAGAGAAGATACTTCAACTTTTAAAAGTGCATTCCAAGGAGTACTACAAGGTAGACGACCACTTGGAAGACCAAGTAATGAAAGATATATCTTCAGACTGGTATCTTCCTGTCATCCAGAAATGGCAGGGGATTAAAGAGAACTGGAGGCCAGGATCATTTTAGAGGTTTCAGTGGCCAAGGTGGTAAAATAAGGTACGGTAAGTGATAGTAGGCCTATGCAGTGGAAGGTGGTATGTAGCTACTATACTCAAAGCCAGTGTGTGTGAATCGGCCACCAAGTTGTAAACTAGCTGTTCTGAATCATATTCAGTTTTAATTTACTACTCGTTTTCCGTACGTAGGACGGGCCAACAGCTCGTGTATTTTTATAAATAAAACCTTTAATTTGATACCTACCAAACTTGACCTCTGCTGCTATTAATTGACTGTATGGACTATTAATTAAAAGCTGTGTCTAAGGATTACGTCGGCCTTAGTCACTAACAGGACAACAAGATCGCTCCATTCATCACACACTCAACTCCATTTATACTTGGCTTAAAATGCATACATTTGTATGGTCGCCATTTCAAAAACAGGTAAAATAGTATTAAAATTATATAAGAATTTTGTCTTAGCCTTTGTGATCCATCCCCCTTAAGGGATAAAAAAGTGATAATAGCTCAAGACAGTAGATGTTTATGGCTATTATTGATATACCAAGTCTCACTACTTTATCTATATTGTTAAAAAAATATAGCAAATCCAGGACTTTTCAACTATACTGTATAACGCCAACACGAAATTTTTCCGTTGAACTCCTCCGCATTTCTTAGGCGATTTTGACCATTCATGTCTCAAAGAAAGGGCGTGTCACGTACATTAGCAAACCAACCTTACATTTTTAAATCCCTTGGGCTCAGCCCCAGCGGCTCATGTTATGAACCCATGTTATGCCTATGAAGAACATATTGATTTTTTTATATTATGATCAGCCCAATTAATTGCTGTTATGCAGTTCAAGGAAATAATGTAGATTACATTATTAACATGTTACTGATTTGTTTGAAATACTATATTTACTATTTCAATTTGGGTTTGCTGGATAATTTAATCCATTTTACCAAACAATGAGACAAACATGTAATGCACGAAATCAGGTGGTTCTTAAGTATGTGAAAAAATGTATCGCTATTCAAAAACAGACGAAAAACTTGTAAACATATTCTTGACAACGGGTGTAACCATGTAACATGGCTACATTCAATGACAAACGTGGACAACCTTATACGAGTGTGAGTAAGTCCGAAAACAACTCTAAAAAACAATAAGCAATAAATTGCAAGAACCGTTGCTTATATCATTGGGTATACACGTATCCACTGACGTGTATACTCAATGCTTATATCGAACTGTTATATGTACATCGTGAGTTGTTCCATTAGTTGTTCCATTTAGTTGTGTCCATTAGTATAATATTTTAGTTGACTCTTTAAGTCGGCGGAAATTGTGACTGTTATTACCCTTGAAATAATGTGTGTGTAGTACTTTGCAATCCTACCAATGCTTATATAATCATACAATTACAATTTTCTGGTTAGAATATGTCGCATAGAGTGGTGACTACTGTATCTTTTTGGTTTGCTTGTAAAACAGAATCAACAGAGATTTTCCATCGACTTAAACAATACGATACTCCCAAATTGTTCATTGCAATAACAAAATATCACACAGTTTGATGAATATTTGTGTGTAAACCACATACAGTACACCTTTATGTATTTTACCTTTTATTTTTCCAAGACTTTATAGAAAATCACGCATTACGTGATCAGTGAAGAAAGGCTGTATCCCATGTGTTTTATAGGTAAAGAAGACAAGGGCGGTCCTAGACATATATTTTGGGGGGGTCACCGGGGGCCTGGGGGGTATGGAATACCCCCCAAAAAGGAGCGGGGTCCTGGGGTTCCCCCCGGGAAAAATATATAAATAAATAAATATAGGCTATACAGGGTGATCAACTCAAGGAGGCCACCATTGGGATATCGGAAACGGTAAGAATTAGAGAAAACTTAAAATGGAAGACATACCTTTACTTTTTGTGGCAGTTAAAAAAATGCTTTTAGTTTTTTGAAATTCAGCCGCCATTTTCCAAAATGGTGGCCAAATTTGAAATTTCTTATCGAACACCCTATATTTTATCATATTTTCGGACATAATAGGCAATTTTAAAACTTTTTTATCCTTGACACTTTTTCGATAAACCCACTCGTTTAGGAGTTACAGCCTATGGAAAAATGACTTCCGGTGTACATATTACATCATGTAGCTCCTAAACAAGTAAGTTTATAGCAAAATGTGAAGAGTAAAAAAGTCTTACAATTGCATCCACATTCCAAAAAGACCATAAAATTCATTAAAAATATGAATTATATTATTAAAAAATGGCGGCAAACTTGAAAAGTGGAAAACTGTTTATTTTATAGTCTTTATGGAATGTAGATGCAATTCTATGACTAATTTACTTTTTGCAATTTTGCTCTAAACTTACTCGTTTAGGAGCTACATGATGTAAAATGTACACCGGAAGTAATTTTTCCATAGGCTGTACTCCTAAACGAGTGGGTTTATCGAAAAAGTGTCAAGGCTAAAAAAGTTGTTAAATTGCATATTCTATCCGATAACATGATAAAAAAACTAAAATCATATTTTTAACTGCCATAAAAAATAAAGGAATGTCCCCCATTTAATGGTTTCTCTAATTCTTACCGTTTCCAATTTCCCAATCGTGGGCCTCCTTGAGCTGATCACCTTGTATATATGAATTAGAACGGATGGTGTTTTTGGCCTCTTGGGACCTCAAAACGAAAAATTAAATCTGTCCCGGGTCCAGGTGTTACCATAAGTACTACGGTAATAGCTTATTCCCTATATGGGAAATTCGCCAAAAACCTAATAGTTATATGGAACAATATTACATTCAACCAGCTGTTAGTTAAAACAAATTATATGGGACTAAAACAAATCGATGATTACAAAGATTACTTTAAAAAATAATTTGAACATCCTACTATTTTACTATGCAAATTTAATTAATCTGCCATCATCATACCTAAGAATTGAATGCATCAATGGTCAGCATTACACATAGTATAAATAAGTCAACTCTAAATATGTCTTTAAATTTGTTTCCAAATGCTGAATTTGTGTCACAAATGCTGAATGTTTACAGCTGTTATTTTAAGCAAATTATATTGTACTAAAAGCTGGCTTAGAAGGTTAGCGTCGGCTGCTAGACTTTTTAAAAATTAAAACTTAATTCCTAAAAAACTGGGACCCTTAATTATAATTATGGCTTTGACATTCCCTAGTTCTCAAAATTATCTTTCTTTCAACACAAAAATAATGAAAGTCCGTCGACTGGTTTGATTCAGAATGTGAAAAAACCCCATTTAGTTTTAATAATATATATGATAGTTTGGACAGGTTTCAAACCTTCCGAGGCGTAATACATTTACACAGTTTATGTTTAGACTACATAATAACTCATAAAATATTTCTAAAATTAAATGGATCTTCTTTTACAAACGTATATAATAACCAGAAATTTTCAGATCGTCCTTGCGTGTATTTCATGCCACAAATTTTGACGAAAGGCTTTTTACATAAACTATCCCTATTTACAGTGTTGACCAAACAGTTGGCAAGAAGCATTAATAGATAAGCTATGTACCAAATATGATAATTTTAGCTCTATTCTAATTATGACAAAACACGAAGTAACTAAAAGCGAGTTTTGTTGGTGTAGTAAGCGTTGCAGGAGGTCTACTTTACACTGAATCGACGTTCACTTTTATTGCTTTTGATCTTCCGGCACTGTTGACTCAGCGAAACTGAACTTGTATTTTACCGTATTTCGTTATATTAAAACTGCTGTTGCATTAGGTCAAATTCCCAATAAGTCAATTGCTTTAACATAGACCACGTTTTTAGCTCGGACTGTACTATTTGACTTACTGGGACTTTTGATCTACAGACACTGCAAACATTGTAGTTTTTGACCTAGCGGCACAGGTATAAATTATTTGATCTTCCGGGACTGTTGACTTTCAGCAACATTCCCTATAAGGCTCAGCTCTCAGCTGACTGCCACTGTATCAGATATTTCCTTCAACGAAACATCAGACTACTATTATCATGGGCAAGGAGAGGACCAACGTCAACATGACCGTCGTCGGCTACTACTAGACTCTCTCATCAGGTAGTTATTTTTACTTTGAACAGTTTCAATAATTATACGTTAGCCTAGCTTTAAAGATTTTTTTTCAAACTAAGAGGTCCGATAAAATTTTTTTCCTGAAACCAAAGGCGTATGTATTATATTTTATACAGCAGATTTAAATATTAAAATTTTCTCTTCAGTGTCCTCTCCGTTGCGAAGCACGGGTACAGCATCTAGTAATTAATAAACAACCAGCAGTGGAACACTCAAATTTAAAATAACAGTACACATACAATTTTATGAAAATACAAAAATCATGTTTACTGTAATTTAAAACCTAAGGATAATCTACATAATTATTTTTACTAGAGGTCGTCCATTGGTCGAAAACTCGACCAAAAATATGTAATGTGCAGACTTCTCTCTTTTAACCCCATGCTGTAAATAACACATGTGATTGGAATTTCTTACATTTGTTTTGATTTTCTGTTTTGTATTTCATGCTGGTGTCAAGTCAAGGCTAAAAAAGACCTAATTTCCAACCAATTAGGCTCATTTTATTTTTTTTTATTTTAAATTAATTTTTGTGCTTATTTTTGAACTTATTTTAAATTTTAAAGGGATTCCGCTCATATACAGGAAATATCTTTCTAAGAATATGCTTAGATTTCCCCTGTGATGCACAGGAGCTGAGAAAAAATGTTTTCAAGAAAAATGCTTGCCTATTAATATAGATTTTACTTACATTAGCTCATAATTAATTGTTTTAGTCAAATACGTAATAATAGCGATAAAATAATAACATTCATAACTCTAGGGTGAATAACGAAAGCGTTGGTAAATGCATGGGGTTCAGAACAAATGCTTAACCATTAATATAATTTTATAGTTTGTTTCATTTACCATGTGCTTAAAGTTCTTGCTTTCTTAAGTGTTAAACTAAGTTAGCACACATCAAAAAATTAAACAAAAACTGTTTGTGTATTTGTTTGTATCTCGAATAGTTATTTGATACCAAACGAACAGCAATGAACACATTGTGGTTTTGAACCCTTATATTAAAATTAGGCTGTTAGTGCTTTACAAAAATACAACAAGTAAAGCATTCATCGGTTGAGCGGGTTGAGCACATTCATTTCATTAAAGAGACCAATGAATTCAAACTCTCAAGCTCACTTCTTATTTTTAGTATTTGAACTGTGTTGGTTATTGCTTACTTGAGTCAAACGATTAATTTAGTAATACTCTCCTGTTCCAGATGATGGAGGGCTAGTGCAACACGGACACGTCTCGGCTTCTGTACACGGACACGACTTGGACACGGACAACACGATGCAACGAGAACAACCCCAAAAAATACACCTCAACAGTTTAATTAATGTTCGCAACTTTCAAATAAATAAAAATTTACCGTATTATTTCTTTGATTTTTTTATTTAAGAAACTATTAGCTAACCGAATTAACCTTTTTAATATAGTCTGTTATTTATCAAATGATTTATAAATTAATGATCATAGTTTAAAGTCATTGCTCATTGTAATATAGTGTATCCCTATCGTATATCTTTATTATTCACAGATCCACAATTTAAATAAGAAGCCACAATGAAGAAAGTTGATAACTGTAATTTACAGATTATACAGTTTTTTTCTTTTTAAAATAATATGCCATGTCAACCATATTTTGCAATAATCTCTAAAAAAATAATGTTAAAATAATGGGTAGGCCTTCCCAAAACTTAAATATAAAGTAAAATTTCCATGCTGAAAATATATTTGCATTCCACATAACTATATTTTTTTACTTTCCCACCTTGAATTTCAAACAGAGTGTATCCGTATATTTGGATCTTAAAAACAGCAATGTGTTCATATTATAACTTTCCTCAGTATGTTGGAAGCAGTTAAAAGTGCTTCAGTACACTAAAAAAGGAAGACTGAAATGTTAAAAAATAGATTTAGTTTAATATATGTATAGGGGTTTCTCTTTTGTTACTCAACTGTTACATTTATCAAAGTAATAACAAATAGCAGCTAACTAACTGGACAAATGAGTCAATGCACTTTGTATGGTTTAAAACACTTTAATTAGCAAGAAGAGTAGTACAGTGTACCTAATCATTTGTTTGTAACAGTGATTCTTTTAATCAATCACATACTGTACTACACCTAACTCTCGCCTAGTATGCAATCCAAGGTATAATCTTATTCGGATAAGTTCACTTACAGTGCTCAACGGATTTCATAATCCAAATACATAAAGTTCATCAGTAATGTATAGTTTTCTACCTTAATTAAAACCTGAATGAAAATATAGAAAACATTAAACCTTTAGCTTAAAATGTGCCATCTTACTGGTATATTCAGTTTCTATATATTGTTTTCCACATGTATAACACGATCTGTTGAGTTAAACATTATACAAAAACTAGGTGTTACAAATATTCAAAGTACTCTTTTTACACTACTTTGTCAGATTAGTATTCATTACATACTCCATTGAAATAAAATTCATACAACCTTTCATCGAAATAAACTGCCAAAGTGGCTGTCCTTTTAAGGTAGGTCTTGGAATGGAATTATTATTTAAATCTAGGCGTTTTAGTAAATATCTCAATTCAGTGATATAAAAATTGTCGATAAATATCAGTTGTATTATACAAATTGTTTATGGATAAACTGTAATTCCGTAGAAATAATAAACTAAGAGAAATGTTATTACCTCAAATAATAGAAAGAAACAATTTCCGTTCAAGCTGGATTGTTAATTAGTGTAATGTTCGAACTACTCGAGACATAAATAATCCGCGTTTCTCTTTCTGCAGAAGTAGACTGTCTGATATGACCTTTCACGGATAATGAACAATAAAAAGCTTCTAAGGCAATCAGGGTTTAAATAAAAATTTCATAAAATAATGTTTTTGCTGAAGATATAGAAAGAAGGCTAAGAAGCAAAATGGAAGCTGAGGCGAAGGGGTTGAAAGCTCAAACAATGACAAATATTTGGCCGAGATTTTAATGTGGGAAGTGGTAGGGCGGAGCGGCGTGATTGGTGTGTCTCGCGTCGGTGCGGTGGAGAGGACCAATGGGAGCTCAGCGTCGCGTCGGCACGAAGCGCCGCGGCGTCCCCTGGTACTGTGTCTCCGTCACTGTATCTGGGCCAGCTCACGCTATCACAACACATCAACTTGCTGTTAGGACTTCATTTTGAACTGATAACGAAATTAATTTAGTTTTTACAACTTTTATTTTGAGATTAAACTTATCATTCACAATAAATTGTCGACACCAATATCACAAAAAAATTATCGATACAACAAATTAGCTGGAAATATAACTCCTTATAACAATCCCTTTTGCAAACAATGTGGTGCACCGGTATTGTTGATTTTCTGTGAAAAAGTTAACAACATGTGGGAAAAATTACAAAAATTTAACGAATACCGGTATATCAAATCTTTAACATTGCATTTTTTGTATTACATGTTTGGGCTGTTTGGTGGGATCGATATTTGTTACATATTTATAGTTTTTATTCTTTATTATGTATTTTGTAAAAAAGTAAAGCTTAGCATAACACATTTTACATATCGTAAATATCTCTATTGGAACCTACATACTTGTTAAAAGTATGTATACAAAATTGTAAGTGTAAAAAACACAGGTAGGTTTTTGATCACGTAGCTAAAGAGTTATCCAGTGTGCACCACATCGTTCTTAAGAAAATCTTTCATAGGTTTCAATGGGTTGAAAGGGTGAATGTCCCATTAAGATTAAGCGTTCTATCGTCTTTAGGTAGCAACAAGTTTATGAATAACTTAATCATAATTGTGTTTTGTGCAACTGCTTGAGTGTTTTATATTTTAAGGTTGGCTTTGGATTCTTCGTTGATTACTAATCACTGAGTTAATAAGGATCTGTAATTTCCTCTGTGTTATACGGCATTAGTACTTTATTTAGTTTTGACTTTTTTATGTTCAAACGGAATCTAAACAGTTACCAAATAGAGGGAATGTTACTCTTGATCTCGAAGTTATTAACCCTTAATTTGTATTGATCGATATCGATTGAGATTGGACTGCAGACCTCTAACCTTATCCTGACATCACAGCATCATTTAAATATATAGAATAAGTATACTATAGTATATATATACTAAGTATATAATTTACGAATACCACAGGCGTGACCAAGTCATGTGGCCTAGATAACGTAGGAGTAAGACTGAACGTTCTTATCAAGATCACTTAATTGGAACTACTTTACATTAATGAAGCATGTTGGAACATTGGAGGATGCGTTGCTCGTTGCAGGTGTAGGCGGAAATGCCACTATTTAAATTCAAACTTCCACAAAAAATGTAAACTATGTTTACCGAGGTTAAGACATATGGAATTACTTGTTATCATTCTCACTCGTATTAAAAATAATTGTTACTCTGTATGAGACTACATTTCATTTTAAATTAATAAGCAAGGGATAACTGATGACTTTCAACGTCAATATAAACTGTTTTCAAATGTTTTAGGTTTAATTTTTTTAACTTGGATGTTTCCGTTGTAAAGATTAAAAATAGCTGACGATTAATATATTGGGACACCTTTTATACTTGAAAGCAACGAGAACTTCAGCAAAATAAAATTGATCTAAAATTTAAAAAGCGGTACCCTTTTTAATATTTTTTCTCCCACCAACTAATGTCGAACACTTCAGTCAAATCCCTGTCTCGAACCTATACTATATTGTATCCAATAGTCAATGATTGTAGTTAAGCTTATAAATGTCCGTTTGACATTCAGGAACAAATAATTTAGTTTTGCAAGTTATGCGATCGTTATGTAAAATAAAATAAAAACTTCTTATACCTTCTTATACGCTTCTTGTTTCTTGAGAGTGTCAAGGAACCTTTAACATATAATAACGTAATAATATATACCATGCTAATACTGTTCTTTTCTTAACCCAGATACCGCTTGTCTTTTGGCTATCAATTAATAATAACTCACTATCGACTTTAGATACTAACACCAACAGGATGTAAACAGAACCTTTACTATAAAAACTGAATCCTTTTTTATAGAATGAGGCCAATAACTTTAAACACACAAATATTCCAGCTAATAACGATATATTGTCGAAATTCTAAATAGAATCTCAAACACTGCATATCATGCGTTTTAAAACTCAATCCATACGATGATCTATATGTTGATTTATCCATATGAAATGTAAGAGAATATTTTATGTAAAACTGTTTAGTGTAGAATCAAAATTCATAACAGCTTTTTTGTTGTTGGAAAATACAATTCAGTATAGTAAAAACGTTCTGTAGTTTTAGTGGTAGGATATAAACAGGCATAAATATATAACACACATATTTAATTATAAATGTGGTAAAAAGACGCCCCTCCTATTTCGACATAAATGGACAGTAGAGATGCTAAGTTATTTACATATAATTTAAGATATAGTTCTTATTAAAATTATCATTACAAACTTATTAGTCTACTATGTCTTACAGGCAATGGAAATATCACATTAATATAGAAAGTAAATTAATAAAAAAATATATACATATATTTTAGTTTTTTTCTTGTTACTCTGTAATGTAGGTAATGATGTATTTCTGTCTTGTATCTTTCTGAATAATGTATACTTAAATCGTATTGAATCTAAAAGAAAGAAAATCGTCACTTCAAGCTTAAATAATAATATAATTAAATTAAGGACTAACGTAAAAATACATAATATATCCTTTAGTACAGTAGTCTTGTTTCTTGAAATCGAGCTTTTCAGTGCAAGAACTCAATAATTTTCATAAAAGGTTTCTGCGTGTTTACTTGACACTAAAGGGTGCCAACACCACCTTTCTACTATGACTTTCTACTACTGTACTACTGATTTTTAAAACCTATCGATAAACACAAAGTTGTAAGGTAGGTAAGATTGTTTAAGAGAGCAAAATTGTGTAAGATTTTCATTAAACTCCATCCAAGACATGTAAATGATCGACATCATCTGAAAAATGTAAGGTAAAAATTACACTTAACTTGTTACATTCCTTGGAGAATCAAAATAACCAATTATACTTAAGGAATAAAACATATTTTGGTATATTCGCAGTAATCATTAGCTACACAATTGTTTAAACAGACCCGTGTGGATTTTATTCTAGTCAAACAGTGACCTAGATTTTGATTAGTTTCTCAAACCCAGAACGTTCCTGGGTTGAAACGTCTCAGAGTTTGGCTTAAACAGTTTTACAAACTAGCTTCTTTGTGTCGGCAGCTTATTACCTTTAGCTTAAAAATCTCCGAAGTAAAATCAAACGTCTATTTACTTTAATGAAACAGTAATGTGTGTCTTGGGGGTGGCGAGGCCCCGCCCCCGGGTGCCGCCCCTGTACCGCCTCCACGTC